ATACTGACAATAAACTTCTGTTATACATGGTGACAGTGGGGTTAAGTTAACAAAGGTATTAAAAATTATTTTAAAACACGGGAAGTTTAATAATCGTTTGATTGTTAATGGCTTAAGTATTCATCAAAGGATAGATAGGGAAATTATCATTGGGAAAGGATGGCTCAGCATGATAAAATAAAATGTTGAAACAGAGATGAAATGTGATCGGAATGATCGTGGAAATAAAAACAAACCGGTTGGGGGTAGAAGATTTGAAGGGAAGATGGAAGATGAAGCAGGTGGCTGTAAGGGAACAAGAGTATGAAGAAATAGAAGAAAATTTTTCTTAATACATTAAGTCTCTTTTGTACACATAATTCTGGTTTTTCAAAATGTATGGCTATTGCCTCGGTAATGCAAAGGCAATGCAGTCTAATTGTCTTAGGAAGGCTTCTACTTACCTTGTAGATGACTTTGAAGGCAGAGTCTGTCTTGGTTGAGTGACCTCTGTTCACAAGGTGTTCAATTATAAAACTTGTTATTGAGCCGTTGTCTCCTCTTTTTAGCCACGCCGGACAATGTTCTTGAATTCTTTTGGATAAAGTACTCATCGAACGACCTATATACCTAGCTCTACAAGAGCAGGTAAAATGGTAAATGCACATTGCGTTTGAATCATGTCACTATCTTATTGGTTGGTAGTATTGCATAGGGATGACCTTAGACCTAGACCTAGAAATTCATTTGGAGAAACCTTAAAATAGACATGATTGGCTTAAATTAATGTGTGTTTATGTTTAATCACACGATAATAAATACATCTGTTTGTTTTATAACTTCAGACGTTCACCTGTACTAACTGCTATAAATACCATAACATTGCTTTGGTCTAAAAGCTATGAAGATCATAGTTCAGATTAGCGTAAATGCGATATTTCAGTGTAATTACCTTATAGTTTCTTCCATCATAGTTTTGCTTCAGATAAAGTAAGTCGTAACGCAATATGCATCTTTCCATGTATGGAATAGTTCATCTGCTTTTATACCAGTTCTACATTGACAGTTAAAATAAATATTGACATTTTAAGAATAAGATTTATACAGATGTTTAAAAACCAACTTTCATTTCCCTTTGCATTCAGTGGGTTGTGTTATCATTCATTAAATTTCTATCTCATATAATAGTGAACTAACACAATTTCTTTGCTTTCATCTATTCGTTACATTTTCTCCTTCATGATCAATTCAACTATGATCGACCGAACAAAAAGTATTTTAGCATTTAAAACTCAAGATAATCCACAAAGTATCATAACTCGTTCAGATATTTGGACCAGACTGTTCAAATTTCTTCAAAATACACAAACTGTTTGGAACGGCTTGTAGTTTATCGGTCGGTTTGTATGCTATTATCTTATGGATAGTTTTCTTTGATATACCTTACAGAAAAGGCAGTCAGCCCAAGTATATATATATTTCTTAAGACGTTTTTAACTACTCATATTTGGATTATGTGATTTTCTAGGCGCAGAGATGCAGCAGTATTTTATTGAGATTACAGTTGGATGGTGATAAATCATTGAACTTTACAAATCTGTATTTGTTTTGCATTGTTTAGTTCTTAGATAGATTGAGTTAGCTACTGTTTTGTGTGTAGTAATGAAGTTTCGAATTGTATACACAATACCTTATACTGGCTTTTATAAGGGGTCATATGCAAACTTTCTAAAAGAGAAATTTGATCATTACCAAGGAGAATCACTTTCAAACGGTTAAACAACAACTTAAGGAATATATTACGGGTTTTTTTTTAAAAATAAATAAATAATTTTGATAACTGATCATGTGATGTAAATCCACTTGTTTGATTGACCGTTTTCTATCGCAATGATATTTTGTGTTTACTTTGGTATTGATAATTTTTCTGTTTAGTAACTCTTCATGATAAACAGTGTACCTCGAAAGATTATTTCCAAGAATTTCTGTTTTTTACTCATTTTCAGTGTTTTTTAATGTTACAGTTCTTTTTCAACTCACCTTTTTAATCAGCAAACAAAATCATCCATCCCTTGCATAATATCTCATTAACATTTCTTATATGATATCAGGTACTTCTCAACCCTTATTGACTTACTTTATCACTGTACTCAGGCAGTTAAGAAAGTTTTTATTAGACTCATAAAATGTTTAATATTAATGTATGTTCTGTTCAATGTTCCTTGGGTTTTATGTGAACTCGTAATAATCATGTTTCTATTTTACACCTCATTATAGTGATATTTTGATAATGTTTATGTTTTTTTATTATCTGAGTTTTCAATTGATTGACTGGTAGACACTAAAGGCAAATCGATTTTCTGTCCATCGATCTTTCGTGTCGCAAATTTTCGTTTATGCTCATGACAAACACATATATATGCATTTATGGTATACAGTTCGAATTTTTTGATATTCCGACAAAATGGGTGGTCCGAACTAGTCAACAGAAAACCCTGGACTTAGTCCTAGGGTTGGCATAATTCATCAAGATCTACCTGCGACCTTGTGGTTATGGCTACTAGTCGTATTCATACTCACCTCTCAAAATTCCCAAGCCCGAAACATTACCACAAACTATTTGGTCAGCTATTGACACGTAATTCGTCGCAAACTGTTTGCTTCAATTGTAATATTAGTAGTCAGGTAGAGGGAACCCCTATTTATTTTACAATAAATAGTTGGTAATAACTTATGTTAATTGACTGTTTAGCCTATTGGTTGGAAAGAATCATGAATTTGCTGACTGATATTTTTAATTAACATGTATTTTAACTGCCATATTCGAAGGTGTCTGTTGGTTTCTATCGTATTATCTTTAAGGATTTTAACTGTACCTGTTGGGTTATAATGTTTTACCGATCATGGTTGTCAATCAGAATAACTCTGTTTGATGCCATATTATTTGGCAGAAAGAAAAAGGAATACTAACAAAGGTACACATTTATGTTAGGCGTAGACATGTTCATTTTTTGTACTCCACTTTCATTTGCTTAGGACTAGTAATAATACTGCACAGTCATGATTACCTTGTTTCTTACTTAAGATTATTTATTTCTTTAGATTTTCATCAGTGAATGGTTTTAGGAAATCACATATGCTAATTTCAAATAAGATTCATGCGACGATTAGGAAAATTCTTATCGTAACACAAAACATCATTACTGTTTTGAATTGGGGAAATTAAAGTACAGATTACTCAATTAATGGAAGTTTTGTTGATCAACTGCGTTTTATTTCAGTTATTCAAATAGTAATTCTTAATTAGTTATGTTATATGACTACTATTTTTCATATTATTGGCCCTTTGTTCTCTTAGTTGGCTCTTCCATTTGTGTTGGTTTTCTTTATGTTGATACATAGCATCGTCACCATGAACCTGGAAAGATAATTGATTTACTAGCTTTTCCATACCTAGCTAACAGTTTCTCCTGTTCACTTAAAATGCGTTAAGTTGTTTATACTAATTATGCTGTCAATATTTGCATATATGTGTTTATTGTCTATACTCTTGTATTATTCTCTGGCCTCGTGTTTGATCATTACTATTTTCATTGGATAGTATATCAAGTCTGTCAAAATATGTCCATGGATTGGTTAATGACTTGACTGACATGCTGCTTTTTGTTTTCTTTATCCGATATTTCAACACTTTCAGATTAAACTTTTTTAAAAGTCGGTTAGTCATTATTGTTGTAGAACCTGGGACTATTTTACGTTAGATTTAATGGCCCGACCGTTGCTGCTATCTTGACGTGGTGGTCGTGCTTGCTTATCGTGATGAACCAGATAGGTTATACTGGCTGGAACAATCGTTCATCAAGGTCCTACCATGTCAGACAGGTCTGTTGAAGAACGGTAAGACTAAAAGCAGCAAACCCAAGGTCCGAAGGCGAAGTCATACTGCTGACTGTGCAGAGGTGTGACGACAGTAAGATGTTTCCCTCAGATGACCAGCATAACGGCGACGCTGTCTTCCCACAAGGAGGGGTGGTGTAAGAAATGGTAGACCCTAAAAATGCACACCTCGTCTTATCCCACGGATATCCGCCTCCGGCGGTAAGGTCTCGACAAGTACAGAGCTAACACAAAAATTACTCGAAAAAAGGTCGTGTGTGACTGACCTCAAGCAATTGTCCCTTGGACACTGCGGTCACGCTCTCAGGTCACTGAGACCACCTCTAATCGAATTTCCTTTTCAAGTACCTCCAGACGAACCCTTCCACGGTGTGGACAACCGGGAAGTGATAACCACCCTCACTGCCATGCCACATCAAAATGATGAAATAAAATAAAAACAATAAATAGTAAAGGAATCAAAATAATCATTGTAGCACTGATACTGTGAAAGTTTAAATAAGTATTTCAGAAGAGCAAGCTAAACAAAGGGCGGCCTGTTTGAGCATCTGGGCTACCTGTTCCTGCCATCTGGATATTTCAACAAGTTATCTATTTTTATTTGTTTTAATATATCATTATGTTTATTAATCGCATAACCTACTCTGCTGCGTTTCTGAAAAGTGTACAACATTTCGTTGTCAAAGTTACAAAAAACTCAATAAGAGACAATGTGGTTGCTGGCAATATACAACGAAAAGAATGCACATTATTCAAATGTTCATTCACTGAATTGCTAACATCTAACTGGCGATCCCTCAATATTTATCGCCAGGACCGACCAAGAAGGAAGAAACGGAAACTTGTTGAAATACTTTGCGCTGAGAATTCTATATTGTACCAAAATTATAATATTGAATAAAGCTAATAATAATAATAATAATAATAATAATAATAATAATAATAACACTTTGTCTTCATCTGGTGTGTGTAGCAGTATACTAAATTGAAATGACTAATGTTTTACCTTCCTACCTTTCCTCCCTGCCTTTCTCCTTTCATCACTTATTACTTACATATTTTGTAATAAACTGTCTCATTGATCATGTTACCGGTGTTTTGTTTTCATTTTTCAATCTTTACAGAGGCTTATCGAACTGGTGAAAAAGACAATTGTATGCCTCCAGTTTGCCAGAGTAAGTTGAATATTAATGATAATAGCCCATAAATTAATATGAATTGAAATTCGTTTCCGAAACATACTAATATCAATCGTGACTGAGCAATATTTTGTGTTGGCTTCAAATTTACTGACGGTCTACATTCTCGTTTCTATGTCTCTTCGATTATTAAAATCCTTGGATTTGGTTTATGTACGAGGCTGACAAGATATTTATATCTCCTTATCAACATGAGATGTTACTTTCTGTTTGATCTGCATCATTGCTGGTTTTACCATAGGAAATGAGGGTGATAATCACTTCACTTATCTTTGGATTTTCATCAAAGTTGTTAGGTTACTATCTGACAAAATCTCTGAAGTTGTATAGAAGGCTCCCATAGCTCTTGCTTTCTTTCGCTATCTGTGTTACGGAAGAGACGTCAGCTTGCCAACCAAACTCTGAATATACTATAAAACACTCCGCCTTGTTTCAGTGTATGACTATAAAGTGTAGTCTAAAATAGTAGAAAATATGTACAGAGTTCACATTCTGGATCATAAATTTCCAAGTTCAATAATGAGTCCATAAATTTTAATCCATTGGAATGATTAAAGCATGTTTTACGTGTGTGTAAACTGCCGCCTATCTTGATCTGCACTGTTTTGGTTAGCGTCCACTCAATAATCTGATTCATTCGTCGGGGATTTTTGGCGACATGGCACAAAACCAGTCACAGTGATGCAGTTACACTCATCTCTATTCGTCTAAGTTTTGTGTTAAATTTGTTTCCTGATTCTTCACTCTTCAATCTTATTTCTTTTAACAGTTTCCCTCATGTTTCAGCATTCGTTGGAGTTGAACTTAAGTACTCTCCTTTCCCTGTCTTGTTTTCTTGCTTTGTCGCTGTGCTGATTTGAGGTATGGCACAATCGTAACTGTCTGCTATTGCCTCATTTCCTAAGAATAATTCAATAATTTTGATTATAATTAATAATCTCACAAATCAGTTTTATTTTAGTATTACGATTGATGGGTGTTTTTTTGTTGTGTGATATACACCACTTATTTATTGAGAAAGTTGTTTTCATTTGACTAATGACTTTTTTATAATATTCCCTACCTTTTTTATTCTAAGGTTTTGGCGATTTGAGGAGATATCTGAAATTGTTAGCGTACAACCACTTTTGTATTGGGACCTAAAAATATCTCATATTTGTTAACTAATGGCATAAAATTTACACTAATTGCATAAGAAAATATTGACAGTGTTATGTTGATAAAGTTATTTGTTAAAGATTGTTTTATTATATTGTGGTGAACTAGAACACAAGTAGGTTCAACCAGATGTATTTGAATACAAAATTACAGTACATCTTGATAAAATCTGAGAGCCATACAGTAAATAGTTAATTTGCAAAACGTCAATCAATTATCTCAAATTTAACTGTTCCCTTTGCAAAATGTCAATCAATCGTCTCAGACTTCACTGTTCCTTCATTTCCACAACAAACATTTACTATTCTCGTTCTCTTTTCTTCGATCTTTCTAACCTTCTGCTCCCAGGCACTTCACTTTCGATTGATGATTCATACTATTTATATCTATCGACATCAGTAGCACAGTCCACAATATTTTGCTAAACTAGTTATCATTTAAATACTTCGGTGTTTTTGCGTACAGTTTTTTTATGTCCTTACCGATTTTACCAAATACATCAATTTTGATATCCTGGGTTGTGATCTAGCGTCTCATGTATTTAGCTTCATCTCTGAGAATTACTAACATTCTGTGGTCTGATTATAGTGTGGTTCACTCATATTTCTTATACTTTACTTTAGTATACTTACGTTTCTCCGTTGTGCCTGCTTTATTAATTACTATTCGGTGTGTTTTATAACGTGTCTTAATTCTTTATATAACGCGTCTGGTTCTGTTGTTAATATATGTATACTGTGTGCGATGTTGTTTTGCATCATATTTAGCTTATCTCTATAGTTTGTTAGTCAAATATAAATGGCTAGAATTAGTAACCATATTTCTTATGTTTTCGATAAATGTTCACCGAACTCTCAGAAGGGGTTGGTTGCAGCATTAATATGGTTATATTTCAACTGTTCAAGAATCATGCAACTTCCTTTCACTTACTTAATTGCCCCTGTTACCTCTTATGGAGGAGCATAGGCTACCCACCAACTCTCTCCATCCAACCTAGTCCTGGGCAGTCCTTTCCAATTGCTATTCATCCTTTTCATGTCTACAGCTTCCTTTCGCAGTTTTATTTAAATGTTTTACGTTTATTAAAAATCTATTCTTGTACTTACTGGTGAACCGTTTGCTTACGTGTACTTAGTTGATGACAGTTTGATTCAGTATTTAATATTTGTGAATAGATTTCGTTGTTTAGTATGAATGTACCTTGTTTCGCAGAGATTTAAAAAAAACTAACTACTTCCAGTTTTTTATTCAAACTTTAAGCGTCTAGCCAGTTGTTCCAGCTCATTTGTGACTATTAAGTAATTTTCGATCTTTGTTTACTCATACAATGCTGTTACCTATTTTGGCTTAGAATATTTACTTAAATACATGTACGTTGAAAAATATCTTTGCTTGAGCACTGCACCAATATCTAAATGACACTAGTCTATGGAAGCCATCAATAGCTGGTTGTATAAGGAAATTTGCACTGTTTAGTTTTTAGTCTAATTTCTTTTCTATTGATTATGTCAGTCCATAACAGCAAATATTAGCTTAACAGAATGTAAACAAATCAACGGTGAACATTTTTTATGTAGAAAAGATATATAGAGTATATAATCTACTTCTCATTACACCTAATGTTCATCTGAATGTTTATTCTACTATTACTTCATATTTATTACGCTAAGTTTCAGTAAATGTTTTCCCCATATTTATGGAATATATATATATATATATATATATATATAGTATTAAAATACGTGTACTCTACTCATGGTTTCAGTGATGCTCTTATCTTTGTTTTATGTTTTTGTTTTGAACTTATCAGGGTGACGCAATAAGGAGGACATTTCGTATACTTCTGTTAGCAGGATCCTATTTTACCATAAGTGGTCACAGTAAATGATTGTATCGGTTAGTATTTGGAGTTAATTGTTGGTTGGTGTACAATCTATTAGGGTTGTATCGTGGTTATATATTCAATCCATACCTAATAGAAAGGTCATTTGATTAATGCTGAAGATTCATTTTGCTTCTACGTGTATAGTGATACTCTGTATTTCGTCAGTTATTGTTTTTCTGTAACTAGTATATTTTTGTCACCGTTTAATTATTATTTAGAAATAGTGATTATTGCGTAATGATGGTATATCTGTGTGTTCTTAGGGTCGATCTAATAAATCTGTTCTTATTCGCGAACTTCCGGATTTAAGTTGTTTTCAAATGACTGAATTAAATCTCCAGTATTATCTTTTTTCTATCATTCATGTACAATACATGAAAAGTTATTTTTCATTCCTACTTTAGTTTCGATTCTACAAACTAAGACTTCATAGTATTGAAAAGTCATTGACTGAATGTAATATATGCAATAGTTAAGTGTACAAATGTGTAACTGGTTATTTATTCTGGTGCATTTTAGTCTTTTAAAAGATTTTTCGTAATACTTTAATAATTCTTGGAAATAATTGTTTGGTTTGTCCACTCATCATAGGCATATATCTCATTTACTTGAATAATGTAGCTAATTGCATGTAAGAATACATGATGGCTTCAATTCACAGCTTGGATGTTCATTGTATTCTATGTTTACATTTTTTCTGGAACTATTTGTTACACGTAGTTTCGTTACTTGACGGTTTTCTTTTCGTTTAACTTTACCCATTGTATGGATTATTCATAGTATTTCCCTTGCCGAGATTATTGTTTTGTAAAAGTTTTAATTAGGAAAACCCTGTTTTAACATTCAATGGTCAAGTTACAATTTAGATTATTGTTTAGGTGAATTCATCTTTCAAGTATTTTAATCACGATATCTGTCACTTGTCACAGTCCGGAAGCTTTCTGCACTGTAATATATAGGTGTCATTGTCTCACTATTTTTTCATAACAAATCATAATCCATTTTATTTTCGCCCCACGAAATGTGTCTGGATTATGATATTAATCACTTTTCTAACATCTCAGTTTAGGATATGAATACTTATTTGATAGTGTAAATAGGAAAGAATCCTTTGATTATAATATTTAACTTATTATTAGTAGTAGTACTGTAATATGCTAAAAAACTCTTTGTTGTGCGCTATACTAAATTTTTTTTCTTGAAACAAACTAATATCTTCTCCCGCCCCATTAAATTAACTTTTGTGTTATAGGTTATGAACAAATTAGTTTCGATTGTACAATCAGAAGAAATCTTTCAGTTAAGGAAGATACAACCACTTTTTATGAAGAAAGTAAGGGAAGGTCACAGCAGGATCGCCACTGGCTTCTACTCTGAGCCATATCTGATAACGTCTCTAGCTACTGTGTAGCACCATCTCTCGGACCCCAACCAGGGAGTCGTAAAGGACCGACAGAAGCCATTCCTTTGCAGCTTTCTTTCATACCACGACACCATGTCATGCACCGACCACTTCTCCGCTTCTTCCAACCAGTCCGAGTCGGCAAATAATGCACGACGTGGAATTCTCTGGGACGACATTCGTAAAACGTGTTCAAGCCATCAAAGTCGATGTTTCAAGATGGTGACATCGATTGCATTATCATCTCTGTGCCCGAACACACGATGCCGAACCTCTGCATTACTAACATGGTGTTGCCACTGAATGTCAGCAATCCTTTGGAGACAGCGATGATCGAACACAAAGAGTCGTCTAACGTCCTCAACTCGGAGAGACCAGGTTTCACAAGCATAGAGCAAAACTGCTCTCACCGACGCGTTGCAGATCCGACGTTTTACAGCCAGACTAACATCACGAAGGCGCCAAAGATAGCCCAGATTGGCATAAGCCGCTCTGGCCTTCACTATACATGCATTGATCTCATCACTCACACTGCCACCAGCACTTATGCAGTTAACTAGATACACGGACTTCTCGACTACTTCTATCTGCTTACCATCCAGGGTGAGTACAGGATCAGGGTCCTGCAAGTCTAGAATGTGCAAAGTACATACCGTACCTACGGACAATGATTGCCAACTGATTAAAATACGGAAAACTATCGACTCATCCCATGACGTTGGTACACTCTCTAGCTCCCAGAGTTTTGTAAACAACGTTGTCAGTTCCTTAGCCAGAAAGTCACCACCATCTTTAAAAAGAGCCGGAGGTAAGTCATCTGGGCCCCGGTGATTTGTAGCGCTTCAAGAGTTTGAGTTCCTTGCGGACTTCCTCCTCGTTTGGTGGATCAGTCGTCACCGGCCATGGAGGGCAGGACAGTCTGACCGATGTTGCCGGAGCAGCAGACCAGTTGAACTGCCCTTCGAAGAATTCAGACCATCGTCCAAGATGTCGATGGGTGTTAGTGATTGGCATCTCGTCAACCTCACAGATTGTTTCGTTCACACCAGACTTTTTGCTTCTAGTGACTCAGATGAGTTGGAAGAGCTTCCGGCAGTTACTAGATGCAGCTGCTGCTTCCAGCTCTTTAACCGGATCCCAAATCAATTATGCACATAGGCTCCTGTATGCTGAGGGAACAAATAGAGTAAGAACCAATCGTTGGTCACCGGCTACCATGTGACTGCATCTCCTAACGATGCTTCACTTCCTTGTGGGTTTGACTTTTAGGTCAAAGGCTGGGGGTGTGGCCCCCTAAGAAAACCACTTGCTTTGGTCTGGGCGCCCGAGCAGTATCAAAGCCCTGTTCATATAATGTATTCTTATTTTTCAGTGTTGTCTCTAATTTTGTATGAACTTCATTATGGCTGTAAATCAGTGTAGATTTGGTTATCATTTTCACAGTATGTTATTAACTTAGTAATTGTTTTGTATTGTTTTTGAATCTATCTTTGCAGTACTTGTTGTTTGATAAATATTTTGATGAAACAATATTACTTGTCCATACTTGATTTTGTAGGGTCGATGCTTTTTAAGGTTGCATCATTCAAATTAGATGAGTTACATGCTCGGTACATTTTTTGTATGCCTAGGTCGCTTAATTTTTCCCATATATGTTTTATTATTATGATTATTTTTCAAATCACCGAGTAAATTCTAGATTTCTACATTGCTGTCAGTATATCCTAAATAGTCACAAAATGAACTCATCACTAGCGGGATTGATATAGCAGTTACCTTGTTCAGCTAATTGGTTTGTTGAACTAATATAATAGGATACATGACAAGGATATTGTTTATTTTTAATGAAATATCGATAATTCATTAATATAAATCAAATAGAATTAAGTGACATTTGTGATAAACTTACTTTCCTTTTAACTATTATTTATGCTTTTAAGTTTTTGATTTAGCAACTTACTTTGATTAATATGGAAATGAATTTTTTGCATTTGAATCTCAAAACATTATCTTTCTCATCTTGAAAATATATCTTTCTGTATACACTTTAGGGTTCAGTCAATAGTTCATATCGTATACCGATTACTATGAATGACAACATTGTTTCTGATGCAGTTGACATTCCGCAGACTTTACAATTCGATACGTCTATATCAAGCAGTGCTTTCTCTACATTGAAAGTGAAAGGTATATCCCATTGTTCTAAAGTGTTATTTATTTCATTCATAGATTAGGTCGAATATGTGTTTATTCTCTTTAATTTAATTTCTCAATGTTATTCAAATTTGTAAGACTTAATCTCATTATAAAGGTATATATATATATATATATATATATATATATATATATATATATATATATATATAATTATTACTGATAATCGTTGTTATTCCGATTCTTTCCGTCACCAATCTCTATTACTTTTTATTGTATTATAATATTTTAATGTTACACTTTGATACGAATACGGTCGTAAGCAGCTGAAGGGGAGACATAAAGTAAAATAAATTCATATTATTTTGCTTTATTCAAATTCATAAAGGGGAACCGAATGTATCTAACTAGATTATTTACAAAGAAATTACTTACAATTTAGTTAACCTTTGACCTTTAACAAGTAACAAATATTGTCTCCATCCAAAGTGTCTAAAATCTTAGCAGAAATATGCTTAATTTAAAATGTCATATAGTTGCGTCGTCAAATTTTTTCCAAGTCAGTCTTGCTATTTACATAGCTATGGATTTAATTCAGTGGTGTTTTCTATCCTAATAAATGTCAGTTATTTATATCATGTAGTGTAATTTTAGTGTATGATATTTTATTTTCAGGATCGAGGCTTGTTGCAGATGTCCTGTGATTATACAAATAGACGAAAGCACTTTCACGTGACTTTGAACTGTTATATTCTTTAATTCGATCTTCCAAACCTTGTCACTAAATAAAATGTAATGTTTGTACTTACCTTCTGTCTTGGCAAACTACTTTGCTGATTATTGCTTCAAATCATCAGAAGTGCATTTCTAAACTTCTGATTTCACTTGTACAGTTGTAGATACATTTTTTAAAGAGTCAACTTTGTTTACTAATTGTCCATTATTATTGTAGTCATAGTCTGAATAACTCATATGTATTTTTTATCATTGTTATTTTTACTTCTCTTTCAGATTATGATTTAAAAGTACATGAGATAAATCATACATTTATGAACCTTCAAAGTGGTGAAGGTGATGGTGAAAATCCATTCACTTCTTGTCAAGAGTCCTTATCTAATGCTTCCCCTATTATAACACAGAAACCTTCCAGAAAACATTGTACTCGTAATTCTCGACGTTTGGAAAAAAGCAAATTACAGAAGCGGCCATCTTCTACTACAGAATCATCCATCGAATCCCATTCAATACGTTCACATCCTGAGCAGCTAGCTACTATTTCTTCATCACTCCCTAATGATACTGTGATTGTGAAAAGATGCTTTGATGCATTAGATTCACCCTCTTCTAATTATCCACCATTGTCCATCCCAAGAATGCCAGTTAGGTCTTATTCTTCTTCAGATGATGATCAGGCTCAATTGGATCAAGAAGAAGAGGATGAAGAATTCTTTGATACTCAAGAAGATATTTCTGTCAACTGCGCAATAACAAATTCTCCACAACCTGTCAAGGAGTATGTAATAATTCATCCGAACTCCGTGGTTATTTTTTTCTATGAATTGGTCTAATTAGCTAAGTCCTAACATAGTAGTTTTATGTGTTTGTTGCTACTCACGTTGATAGTATGTAATACTTTCAAATACGGATAATTTCACAATATTCCGTTAGCTTTAATTTCAGTTCCTTTTAGGTTTATTATGTACATATCTTATCTCAAAATAGTGAAACTAATTGATAAAATTTAGCATGAGATTTATAGTAACTAGAAATTCTGTGTGTTGAACTCCGGTTTTTCCAGTTTGGACACTGAGGACTTCATCGGTGAATGGGTATGATTTGAATCTAACTACTATGTCAGTTCTTATTTATTGAAGAGTTGAAAGTTAAAATATCCCAACTTTTTTAATTTACTGCCTGAAGTAAATATTAAATGTATTGAATCGTAACGAACGCTAACTCGCAAAGAAGTTTCTATTGGTTCAAAGGTCCCACCAAATTTCGTCGTCATGTGCGTCTGTTGAAGAATGAAATGAAGTTGTGATCATAATAGAATTATTGTATTCTATCGAAATAATAAAAGTATATTTATTTATTTAATTATTAATTACTAATGCCTTATGAAAATCTATTGATTAGGTTGTATATCTTGACTTGATCGATTGCGGTAGTTGAGACATGTATTATGCATGTCCAACTACTGTTTGCCCCGATGTACTTTATAGCGGTAGATTGCTAGGGACTGCCAAACTCAAAGCGTGATATTAGTCCATGCATTCATTGACGGAGCCTTGCAAATAAGCTCAGACCACTTTATCGGGGTCCGCGTGTTTATCGTAACCATTGCTAGAAGACTTTGGGTGTGACATGGCTGAGAATCAGTCATAAATAATAAAGACTCATTCATACTATCTTCATTTGAACAGTATGTTTCTGAAATACCTTAAATTATTATTTATTTTACTTTTTGTTCCACAAATCCAGTGATCCTTGAATCATATTTTCCATGCATAGTTCCTAATACCATTAGCATTGCTACTACTCCTACTAATTTGGCTTCTCGACATACTGACGTGGTGCGGCAAATTGACACGATGCATATATGTACCAGGTTGTGCGTTGTGGATAAGTGGCTGATGGGAACCCCATTCAACTTTGTATAGATTTGTAAACAGCTGACGCCATGTTTACATTTTTCTGGGGTAACATGATTTATCACCATTCGTTTTAGATAGGTTTTCAGTAGGACCAGTTATTGTATTATGTAAAAGACTTTACTGCGTTACGTATTAGGATCTTGATTTTTTCTTACTCGCTAACTTGTGTGTGTGTCACAAGTTCTCTCACCGAATTTCAAATTATCACTAACTAGTCAACATTGAAGTTCTTTAATAATCAAACCCAACCTTTTAATAGAGTAAACGCTATCGTAGGTAGTATAAATTGAAGTGTTAATTAATCTCGTATTAAAAGTTAAAACTTATTCTGATTGCCAAAAGATCATTTGAGTATGACCTTCACATTCTATTTCTTCTTGGTTGCTGATGATTGGATATAATCGCAACAATGCTGTTGTTAATTGTTTCGTAATTACTGACAACAATGAAATGCTGTCTTTTTTTAGGAATAAAGATATGGACTCACAAAATTTAATGACTAAAATATTTTCATGAATGATATTACATTAATTATCGATTTAGATACAAGACGATACTATATATAACGATGAGTTTTCAATTATTTTACGTACTACAACTCAACATTTTCTCGAGGTGCTTATAGACGTTTAGGCGTCATAAGTTTGTTTGTACTTGCGTGTATGTACGTTCACGCACGAGCATAATATATTGTACTAATGCCAGTGTACCTGTGAGATTTTTGTACAAACAGAATTTGTGTTCTTCAACTGAGTAATGTCTTATTCCATATTATTTTCGATTTTTTCTTAATATATATTTAATAGTTTGATTACGTTGGTACAAAATTACTGTGACTACTTTTTGTAGATGTGTGCTACTGGTATGTTTGATATTGCTCATATTAATACAATTCCATTTGAAAATCGTCTCAGATAATTTATCTACCTAAAATAATCAATGTCATTGCCTTACGATTGTATTCAAGATGCTGCTAGACATATATAAGCTTATTGTTGATTAGTATAAATAGTAGTAGTTTCATTATTATGAATAATCACGCGGGTTTATAAATTCCTATCATGCAACTCGACAACCAAGTAGTTCATGTTCTTGTCTTTGGGCCTCAGATTTTTTATCAATAATAGTAACATTAGTTTGTTGTTCAAATAAAATGAAATGGTCCGTTAGCAGTTTTGGCAGTCGAATATCTTAAACTCAAATTACATGGTTGCTACTATATAGGCTTTTTTATTATGCATTCACACAGACTACAGTGTTTCCATGTACCTTTTCTCTCCATTCTTTCATTTAAACACCTCACTTTTGTCTTTTAGTAATACAATTCTAAGCATGCATTCAAATCCAACTGTGCCTATAACGAAATCTGGTCGTTATCGTTCAAGTCAGTCATCATCAAATAATCAGACGAATTCGTCTTTGGATGATACCTTCGACGAATTGTATGATGATGAAAAGGAAGAAGAGTGTAAGTAAATTAAATCATGATTGTTCCTGCGAAATGCTGTTGTTTACGTTTTTATGTGTATATTTAACTATCATAATTTAATTGTATGTTATATCATTTACTTAACTCCTTCATAATTTAGAGGGTTGGTTTATATTTTTAGTTGTAATTACAGTTAGTACTGATCTGTAATGTTAATTTATTGATGCTTGTTTTACACTCATAAAGAAGCTTTTACTAATATTCAGGAGGTTCCTGAGAACAAAACTCCACCAAAAAAAGACTTGCTGTAATTCGTTGTTACTTAAATTCATACTTGGAGATTCGAACCTAAAATGTTTATAATCTGGGCATAAATACAAGTCTTTTACGTCACGATATTTGATTTCGTGTCAACCAATTTTTTAAATATATCTTCTGGACTATAAATTATAAGATAAACTACTTGATATTTACCAATTTCAGTTGACGATTTATAAACGTAGTTCTCCCCACTGGGCGTTTGGTATCAATCCTAATCTCTAAAGTAGAAAGCTGTGAGAGACTATTGTATTATTTGGTTGGGAGTCTTATTTTGCTTGTTAGCTACAGAATACAAGAAGTTGGAGGGCTCCTTGCGTTACTGTTCAGTTGCAGTCATGTGTCATTTTGGTTGATATGCACGTACTGGTTTGTACTATTTCTTCTTTTAGCTGCGGAATTCAGGTATTTGATTGGAAGTTATTGCTTTTAATGTGACTGCTATGTCAGTTGTTTTTTGGATGCTTCAGTAATGGCTTTAATATCACTATAGTTGGATCGTTAGTGTTTGGATTTGATTGTTTGAGTGGGATATTGGTTTATTTAACAATTAAATGAATTTTGTTTTTGTTCTTCATACTGAAATACTTATTGTTGAAATATAACTTTTACATATAATAGTTTTCTGGTTATGATGTAGTTAATTAAGCTTATTGTTCGACATGTGGTCCTTTTCTTAGTTCTACTAAAGAGCACGGCCTTCATGCTTCACACTTGTTATTACGATCGCCTATTTTCTATCACAGTGAGAAGTATATTTCTAAGGAATCTATTTTCTTTGTTAAAGTTAAACTATGAGTACTTTTGTAGATTTTGTCAAAATTTAAAACAACCAGTATTTCTTAAGTTTACTTTTTCTCACTTCTGTATTTTGTTGTTTATTAAGTAGGTTCTGTACAATCTCACGGTTCTGTGATAACACATCTTCTTTCTCAGCTTCGGATCGGAATGGATTTAACTAGAATCACTTTGCCCACATTCATTCTCGAACGTCGTTCTACACTGGAAATGTATGCAGACTTTTTAGCACATGCTGATTTATGGGCTGTTATTCCTAATGCATCAACGCCTCGTGATCGTATGGTTGCTTGTCTTCGGTGGTATTTGTCTGCATTCCATGCTGGCAGACGATCGTCAGTTGCTAAGAAACCTTACAATCCTACATTAGGTGAAATATTTCGCTGTTATTGGCCTTTATCTACAGAGAGTGGAGATGATTCGATAAATGCATCAGAAAAACCACAGGAAAAATTATATAATTCTGGTCCTGTTCCTTGGGCGCCTCACAATTCCGTAGTCTTCTTAGCAGAACAGGTAGGTCTCTACTGTCGTCATATCTTCTGTTGTGGATTCTATTATTGTCTAAAGCTTTACTAAATAGACATAGAGATTTGAGTTGTCTTCATATGTGTTTTTTAATTCTCTCTATTATGTGATAAAATCTACCGGATTTCTAGAGATCATACTTTCCTGAATATCATGAATTATACGGGTTTTTTTTCATAATGTGAGGTATATCAAACTTTTTTCCATTTGTGATTTCGCTGTACTTTCATCACATCAATGCATCTTTTCCTTTCATTTACCCAGTTTTGAAACTTTAATTAGTACCGATACAAACAAAAATAGCTAGTAGTCGTTGTTCGGGCTGAAAACGTTTCTATTCAGTGGTTTGGTTTTTACAAATAGAAGTAAATTTTATTCACTAAACAAAGGTTTACGAAAGCGTTAACTCAGTTTTCAGTTATATGAGACCAGTCACTGTAGACAAACCAAAATATGTATTTTTTGCATTGAGGAGATAAAAGTGCATATACTACATACACCTTCACCTTCAACATAGGGTACTTATTTTTCATATGCAGAATGTTAAATTCTACAGATTTTATAAATTATAACTACCAGTTAGTTGTTGTAGTGGTTTATGTGGAAGCTTATAGCGTCGTTACTAGATCGCTCATGAATCAGTCACAATATTATGTGTCTCGTACATGTTATGTGAAAATAAACATATCGTTAATATGACATTTATTGAAATTCTAATATCCTGTAAGCATGTTCAATACATATTTCATTTTTATCAGCGATACTGATCATCAAACATGTGATATGATCGTATTTCTAAAGTGTTTATTTTTTAATATTTCTGCCATTAGGTCTCACACCATCCTCCTATATCCGCCTTTTATGCTGAACATGTTAATAATCAAATAGCTGTAGATGGACACTTGTGGACTAAATCAAAATTTCTTGGTCTAAGTATAGCTGTAGAAATGGTTGGTTCAGCTGTCATATCATTACTAAGTCGTGATGAAGAATATGTGGTTACGTTTCCATGTGGATATGGCAGGTTGGTATACATTTCTGAGTGATTATTAACATTATAGTGTGGATTGGGTTAATCAATCCATTTTTGGGTTGTTTTTTGTTTTACTTGCTGCTTGTCTGAAAAGAAATGATTAATTTCATTTCAGAATACGTAATCCTATCGAAAACTTGTGAATTAATGGGTTTTTTATAATATAGAATCGAGTAAAATAATGTTGTTTAGCTAATTTAAAGTGTATCTCTAGCAGCTAACAACGGACTGTTAAAGCGCAGTTAGGAATCATTAGCATCCACTATAAATATCCCGTATATTTCTAATCTAACTTTTTTCTTTGGTGTGTCAGTCCATGAAACTAAAGTCCGGAAGCTAAGTATCGTATGATTTTCTAAATATAGAACACAATTTGTTTTATTTTGAAATGTTAGCACGAAATTTCCTTTAATTAGGTTATATGATTGATTGAATGAATTTAGTAAACAAATCATGTGATACAAGCTCCTATTGTACGTAGATAGATCAAAGTAAATACTTGCTTTAGTACCGTTTCTCTGTATTATATATACAGTTCTTCATTTTCATCTCTTTTCAAAGGACAAGTCTTTCACTTTTTGTTATAGTTTTAAACTAGCTAGTCATAAATAATTTAAGACCTGGCACATATGTGCACAAATCCAAGTAACTTTACAGTAGTCATAGTAACAGTTAATTTTTGCTGGATTACTCTTTGAAATAGTTTTTGTAAAGGAGTTGAAATATTTAGTTTTATCAAAGCTACCTAATAATAAATTGTAAAATGAACTATTCAGAGTAGATAATTGGTTTATAAAACTCAGTGAAATACAAAAAAAATTGCTGGTTGGTTGACTTGTTTGGTAATAATAATGAATTGGAACTATCATCTAAGTATGAGATATGCAATCAAGACTAAAAATTATTTATCAGCTTACGAAGCTCATGATACAACTGATGATAATTAAATTCCGACGATTAAATAAAAACGTATATGTATAGATCTGGTCTATTTAAAGTTGTTGTTGAAGAATGCACTTATTTTCCCCTCAAATATACTTGTTATGGAGTCTTGTCATACATCTCATCAATTAGCAAATAATAAGTCATTTCCTATTTCAACTACTATTCCAACCAATTGTTGCCTGTTTTATTTTAATACTAGTTATAAAGGATAGTTTTCATGTTTTAAGTTTAACATTCCTGTTTTTAATTCTTATTTATTTTCACATTTGTGCACGAATAATCGTGTATATTGTTATGCTCGTTTACATTTTATCACAGAAACATTCTCACTGTTCCATGGATTGAATTGGGTGGGAAAACTAGCATCACATGCTTAAAAACTGGCTATATAGCTAATATCGAGTTTCGAACAAAACCTTTTTATGGTGGTAAACGAGATACTTTACGTGCTGAGGTTTTTGGACCTAATGATAAGAAGGCTTTTCTTATTGTTGAAGGTGAATGGAATGATAAGATGTTAGCGAAGTGGCCTCATGGTGTAAGTGAAAGAAAAAAAAGCAGTTTTCCAAGTTGTTCTTTCACCTTTTTTTATTATTTTGAGTTTAATGCACTAAACTGTGATCAATGGTTGGCTGATTTCATCTAACCTGCAGTTGTATTGTTTCAGTGGATGTTAGTAAGTAAGCGACAAAAGGTTCGCTCTTCCTATGGAATAATTTCAAACATAGAGAAATCATAAATGGAAGGTTTAGTAACCTTATGAGGAAGGCTCTTAATTCAGTCAGTCAGTCAGCTACAACGTAGGACTAGGCACATATATGCATCGGTCCAAGTTGCCGTACCTCATTAACACAACAAGATGAACACCGGATTCATAAAAGTAGTTAATTCAGAGGTGGTAATATATAAAAGAAAGATTGCATATAAGGATATAGTACAGGAAGAAAGAATTGGTTCGTAGAAAGAAAGATATGAAGCGAATTTTGATCTCTTAGTTTAAGGGAAGACCGAGAGTGTATACACCGACGCAATTGTGATCGATTCTCAGCCATGTAGTCCGTATCTGTCATCATGGCTCGAAGTTAGCGACTTCAAGGACTGATGCCACGTTTTGGTTTGGCCAACCCTGACTTTCTTCCAACCATCTCCAACACCCGTTAGCATTGCACGTCGTGGGAATCGGTGTTCAGGCATACGCAACACATGATCCAACCATCTCAGTCGATGAAGATTCACAATCTCATCAACTGATTTACCATCATTCCCTAATACCCTGAGTCTAACCCAATATTACTTACCTGGTGATCCCAGCAGATGAAAGCAATATTTCTAAGGTATCTGTGGTCAAATACCTGTAGCTTACGAGTATTTTCAACTCTCAATGGCCACGTTTCGCATCCGTAATATAGAACAGAACTGCCGCACAGTATACTCGTCTTTCATTTGACAGACCGATATCCCATAGGTGACGTATGTTGGAAAAAGTCAAACGGGCTTTCTGAATCCATGCAAAGCTTCCGTCAGACACCAACCTATTAAAGCTGATCAGTCTTCCAAGATAAGTGAAGTGGTCAACGCGTTCGACTACTTCACTCCCTATGCCTAGTTCAGGTGTTGACGCAGACCAGTCTTAAAGCAACAACTTGCATTTAGAGGGAGAGAAGCGCATTCCAAACATTCTGGCATTGTCGCTCAGTGCTACCAAAAGACTCTGTATTTTATCAGCTACTCCACCCAATAGGAATATGTCGTCTGTGTATTCTAAGTCGATAAGTGGACCTCCTGGTAGGAGATCGATACCCGAGAATTCAGTAGACGAGAATGTTATTTCCATCAATAGGTCTATGATGAAGTTAAACAAAAATGGAGAAAGTGAACAGCCTTGACGGACACCACTTGAGGTTGCAAAAGCAGATGACAGTTCTCCATAAGCTCTGACTCGACTAATAGTGTTCTAGTAAAGAACCTTCACATGGTTTATGTACTTCTGAGGTACGCCTTTCAATGACAGACACTTCCACAGAATCTCGCAGTCTACGGAATTAAATGCTACTTTTAAGTCAAGAAAGACCACGATTGTCAGACGCCGATAAGTATGCCTATGTTCTAGAATCTGACAAATGGTGAATATGTGGTCGATGCAGGCGTGACCAGGTCTGAATCCAGCCTGATTTTCTCGTGTTTGCAGTTCACGAGTCTACTTTAGGGGCACGATAGTTATTTTGGTTAGTATTTTAGATGCTATGTTAGTCAAACTAATCGCTCTATAATTATCACAGGATGATTTTGACCCGTTCTTTTATATTGGGACAATCAGTTATGGTGACCAGTCAGAGCGGATTACGTCCAACTCGCAGCTTTTAGCTAAAATATTAGTCAACCTAATCGCTAAAATTGGACCACCATCTTTAACGACCTCCAGCCAATCCATCTGTACTAGCTGCTCTTCCTCGTTTCAGATTAGCTTTAGGTTTCTGAACTTCAGCAAGATTTGGGGGACCTACGTCAATGTTCTGTTCGAGTTGTCTGGAAATGGTGGGTGGTTGTAGAGTAGCTGAAGGCCAGCTGAACTGTTCTCTAAAATGTTCGGCCCATCGTTCTAAACGTCTGGACTAGGAGCAGATGTGAGTGTCGTCTTTTTCCGAGATGTTGTCACTTACACTTGACTTATTAATTCCAGTGTCTTGTATTAATCTGTAGTACTGTCTTGTGTTCCTTATAGCCTCCACCTTTTCCATCTCTTTTGCTTTCGTTGCCCGCCACTGTTCACGTTCCTTCCTTTGACTTTTGCTTAACCTAGATTTGATTTGTTTACGCTCTTCATCGTGCTCAGAGCCTGATGGGATGAGTACGAGAATCCATCAGTGCAATAGACCTTGAAGGAATCCATTGGTTTTTTGTAACCGTGTGTTTTAAATCACTAATCGATGTCACTGTTGTTTCCACAGCTGCTTATATATCATTCCAAGCAACCTGTGGGTCAGTTTCGTTTCCAGAACTACTAAAGTGTGACCTCAGTTGTTCCTGGAACTTACTTTTTGTTTTCTCATTACTCAATTCAGTTCTATTGGGTCTTTTTAGTGTGGCTTTTTTGCATACAGTCAGGCTATTTCAGATGCGTTCCTATATTAGAGCATGGTTAGAGTCCAAGCAGGTATTCCAGAATGAGCGACAATCTTCTATCAACCCACTCCAACGATGACTGGTGCCAATATGGTCTATTTAAGTCAATTTTTGATTTGGTGCAGGTGGTCGCCATGTTAGACGATGTCTCTCCTTATGCTTAAAATTTGTGTTTGCTAAAAATAAACGATTGTCTGATCATAGTTACAGCAGACGATCACCATTATCTGTTTGCTGTGCCGGAATACCAAAATACCCATCTAGATGTTTTTCTGTTTGGTTTGAGCTACCTATCTGGGCATTAAAGTCACCTACTACAAGTACTATGTCTGAACGTTTAGCTTTCTGAAGAAGTTCAGATAGCTTTCTGTAAAATTCATCTTTCACTTCACCTGAGCTGCAGTCGGTGGGAGTGTAAGCAGAAACGACAAAAAGGCAACGACATGTGTCTATATCCTTCCGAGTTCTTACGGAGCCGTTTAGCCGAACACCACATAAACGACTGTTAACGGGGATCCACTCTAACAGTGCTTGTTCCACCCTCATGCTTAGTGCTATCCTTACTCCTGTCAGTCCACGAGAGCTGGCCGTCGGGTCACCAGATACTCGGAGGGTGTATCTCGTTGGCTCTCCGTTTCGCTGAGGTGAGGTCAAGTGAATGACCACACTGGGATCCTGTATGCGTGTTTCAGAGACACAGCATACATCAATGGTACGAGATTCTAGGATTCTAACCAAGGAAGCCTGTTGACCGATTTGACATAGGTTGCGTACGTTGAAGGCTCCAATGTGCAGTTTTGTGCGAGGTTTTAGTAGACCTGGAACAGTGTTTTGAGCACTAAAATCGTTGGCTATGGTGACACTTGAGGAGGAAGCCGAAAAAGGAAGGTTAGAGGTGAAAGTCGATGTAGGAGGAGTAATAGGAAGTGAAGACTGAGGTTGATTAGGAATACAGTGGTCTTGAGTGCTGTTAGAGGTATGAGGGCGGTTATCACTTCCCGGTTGAACACACCGTGGAAGGGTTCGTCTGGAGGTACTTGAAAAGGAAATTCGATTAGAGGTGGTCTCAGTGACCTGAGAGCGTGACCGCAGTGTCCAAGGGACAAGTGCTTGAGGTCAGTCACACACGACCTTAGCTCTGTACTTGTCGAGACCTTACCGCCGGAGGCGGATATCCGTGGGATAAGACGAGGTGTGCATTTTTAGGGTCTACCATTTCTTACACCACCCCTCCTTGTGGGAAGACAGCGTCGCCGTTATGCTGGTCATCTGAGGGAAACATCTTACTGTCGTCACACCTCTGCACAGTCAGCAGTATGACTTCGCCTTCGGACCTTGGGTTTGTTGCTTTTAGTCTTACCGTTCTTCAACAGACCTGTCTGGCATGGTAGGACCTTGATGAACGATTGTTCCAGCCAGTATAACCTATCTGGTTCATCACGATAAGCAAGCACGACCACAACGTCAAGATAGCGACAACAGTTGGGAGGTTCTTAATTGATTGTATAGGCATTCTAGAAGTATAAAATCAGTCAGGCTTAAGTATATTTAACTTGTTAATGTTAGTATTTGGAAGCGAGTGAACAAAAGACTACTAAATCTTTAAGTCAATCAAACGCCTGTGTCATTCATCAAGCCCAGAATTACTGCAATCTTACACAAATAAATGTAAATCTTCAGGTAAGTGTCCATAATTTTGTTCGCTTAGGTAATAAAAAGCCCCATTTCCTTTTTAAGTCATTAATTTGATTGTTTTCAGTGTTATACTACTCAATTTTTCTGGTCACGTGGTTCGATGAGGATTTTACCTGTAGTTATTATTTAGTAATCGACCTATCTGTACTTTTTGTTATAGGTCATTTATGATCATATACATAAAATTCAGATGTCTTTTAGGAATTTTTTTAATATTGTAGAAAAATGAGATATTCATTGATACCCGTAACCTACCAACTGTAAGAAAACATGTCCTTCCTCGATCTCGCCAAGAAGAAAATGAATCAAGACGGTACGTTAATGTGATTTCGTTTGTTAGTTTATCTGTTATGGTAATTGATATATATAGTATTAGTAGGGAATTTCGCATAACATGCATTTACTTTTTGCTGTTCGTAAAGTAAGTTAGAATATGGAGATTAAATACTGTCTCTAGGAAACATATTAATAAAATAGTTACTAATGTAGTGCTCAACACGTTCATTGTCGTCTGAATAATTTTAAACTTTCCTATTTTATAAAACTGGGAAACATATGTTATGGAAACTATTCTTCATTTAATTTATCATAATTCACCTAACTGTTCTTCGTCATTCTAAAAATTTCTCAGTTGATTACTGTTATAACTTGTGAACCTGTGTACCCTGTTTATTGTACAACACAACGATTCCGACAATCAGAGAGCAGCGAACTACCAACCGGACAACTGACTCATAAGACACGTGCGAGCAGCCTAGGGTCCTGATTGGTCTTGCTTTCCGCCTAGCCCAGCCAGTTGAGTCCAGAACGCCAATCTCAGCCTCTGCAATATGAATCATTTATTTCAAACATACTAAGTTCATATACCAATCAAACAAACCACAACGTACCATAAAATAGAAAATAACATTTGTACAATATTTGGCCAAGAGTGGCTGTTAATGTGGGAGGTAGTGATTAACATACAGGGAATAATTCAAGAATGGTAAATGGTATAATAATAGTTCATAGGTCAAAATAAAACTCATAATAAGAGGGACATGAATATGGACAGTCTAGTTACATAACAATTACACGATAAAAATACACTCATAGTAATGGTCCATAAATGGATCCCAAAAATTACCATTCATTATTCTTATCGGGATATAACAATTACAGTTAGTTATTATCTGGCTAACTTATTATTTATCTTCTTAACTCTTTCTGCTTGCTTATTTTGTTATTACATTCACTAGTGTTTCATAGTGTGGCAACTTGTAACCTACGTATTCTGACGGATGATGTTATTATCTGATTCTTATCATTCATCATTATTTAGTTTTATGTTATTTTCAAGATTTTTTCGATACTCAATCAACTTGAAGAGATAATCGAAGGGCTTTGTGCTATCTTTAGTTTCTTCTAGTAGGTTGTATGATTTGTTGCTTTTTCTTTTAAACCTTGACTGTTGAGATCGTGGAAGCGTTCCTGCCGTTCACGACAGAATTTGTTACTAATGATTTCAGTATAAAAGCGTTTAATCTTTTATATCATAACTTCAGCATAACATAAAGTAAGGTTTCTTTGAAACATGTAAACATATTTTTCATTCAGCATACAGTTTGTTGAGAAATAAAGACAATAAATAATATTTGATAGGATTTCGGTCATCTAGTTACATGTTGTCATGTATAAACTAACAATATGAGTGGATTAGTGATTTTCTGTAAATGACGACGTTAATCAGTGAACGGATAGTTAGTCTATCAAAATTATGAAATCGATGAGTTCAGCTACACAAATGTCTTTTATATGTTTAGTTATCTTCTGTTATGATTGATTCCGTTACCTATACATAAGTACACGGCTACCCGGATGAAATTTTATAAGTTAGTCAAGAAGCTTTTTTATATTACTTTGCTATTTTGTAATGAATCGTAAAGTATTCAGTACAGTAGGTTGGGAGGAATTACTTTATTCAATGTACATTTCCTAAATTCTTTTCAACATGTGTGTAGATTGTGGGAGGAAGTGACATATAATTTAAAAGTGGGTAATATCGATGCAGCATCAGATGCTAAACATCGTTTGGAACAGCGACAACGAGATTTAGCTCGACAGAGAAGAGACTCAAAACATACATGGACACCAAAATACTTTCGTGAAGAGGGAGAAAACTGGATTTATAGACATCCTTTAATTCAACGCCTACATCAATCACTCAATCAAAATAGTTCTCCCACTGAACCACGAGCAATCTCCAAAAATACGAATTTAGCATGTTCACCGGATATAGTTGTTAATCCAGTTTCTTGCAACAACTCAATAACCGATTCTCCTCAGATAGTCCATGCTACTACAACTAATTCTTCAATCCCTGTAATTGAATATTTCCCCAGTCCATAGTTTATAACTTCATATGATTTTTAGAAATTACAGTTTTTTTCCGGTTTATCACAATTAATGTAAAGCTCGACAATAATATTTGTTTTGCTCAAAGTGGAGATAATATGTATTTTTAAGATCTTTTTCCCTTTAATATCTTTTTTTTCACATTTCATTGTCTTTGTTCTCCGCACTTATTTGTGTTTCTTTCAAAACCAGTTTCATGGACGATTTTGAATGCACATTTCTCTAGTGGTTTTACACATCCTCTCTCCTCTATCTATAATTTCTTAAATGGTGCTCGGATTGATTACATATTCATTCCATAATAATCATAATGCAAACGATATTATCCCCCTTTTGGTTCTCTATTCATCTCGCTTTTTTTCTGTTATATTTCACTTCTAACATTCAATTCTGTTATTTATTGTTTGCTTCTCTAGTTTGATTTTTGTTTTGAAACTTTTATTAAAATGGATGCATTGTACTACCATGTTTTTCTTTCCCATTTACTTTCATCGTTTTTTTCCTTTTAAGCTTCCTATAACTTGTTCGCTTGTTTGTTACTTTCCTTCTGTACAAAGAAAGTCAGCAAGATGTATTAAATGCTCTGACCGTAGAATAGTTACATGTGTGTGTAAACAAGGGTCCTACTATTTCTCTGTATGATCATATTTGTTATGTACTATATAATTTGTGTTAACCTGTCGAGGTCGATAACTATTTTCAGTATTTAAACTTTTCGAATGTTTGATTCTATTTTTGCTAACTCATCGTTTTCTGAAAAATCGGAGTTACAGCCGTTACTATTGTTTTCCATTTTAAATATAGCTGTTTACAGAGATATGACTCCACTCGGCTTATATCAAGTATAATATAGATATATTCTGCTTTGTCTCAATAAACACTGTAAGAGTAGATTTGTTTAGATAGTTCAGTGCATTCAAATTACATAACTAAATACGTTTACTGTACACATTAGCTTAAGAGTCGATAGTTATCATAGAAGTGATTTAATTATACGAAAATGCACTTTTGATAAAAGTTGTGGTCTTGATGCGGCTGTTGATGATCTTTGGAAAATACTACCACGTACTGGATATCTGCGATTAGTGTAGTTTCTGCAAGACACTTCAGAAAAAGCTTAACCATGAGACAATACAGGAAACGGATAGTGGATTGGTCTATAACCACCGATGAAACTATTTCAACGCTATGGCTGCTTTCCATTGATTCGGTATGACAGGTAACTTGTTGAAACAAAAGACGGAAAAACTAATAATGTAGGGGAAATTATTGTATTTCCAGATAGTCTACTTATGTTCAGAAATATGCTAGTCGCTTTGTGTATGAAAAAGTAAATTTGTGGTAGAAATTGTAGTCCACATTTTAACTTACAGGTCAAAGTATAAAAATTATCCAAGACTAATGCGATTACTGAAGAGCTAGAAGTGTGGCTCAGGTCCTTAGTATATTAGAGTTCATCGAACTTAATGTGAAACATCCTATAAGTAAGGCCAGTTTTGGAAACATTACTACTTCTATGACACGATCGTACGTTACCCGTACTAACTTCTTACTGGCTAACAGCGTAGTCCAGATGTATTTAGTATTTTAAAAAAGAAAATGTGGATATATATTGCGAGGCAAACGAAGCTAGATAGAACATGCTATTCATTGATAAATGATATGGATGCAGCTAGTCAAAGCAAACAAATTCGTATGACCTGAGAGTTGCAGATGAAAGAGGTATACTTCAGAGTTAACCCGACGCGATCTCGTGATTCTACTTCGACGTTGAGTACCATACCTAATAAAGTCAGACTTGGCCTCTCATTTTCACATTACATGTTAAGGTTGGTTCATCGAATAGCACAGCAGATTGATGGTTATGTGAGGTATTGTATTTAGGAGTAAAATCACTGTAGGATGACGTGATCATACGTCAAGAGATCTATACAACCACACAGTTAAGATCAGAAGGATCACTTCCGGAAAGTGGTGTTTACTAGAACGTCGTAGTTGGATGTCTCTGAAATATCTAATGGAGGAATCAATGTGCTGGTTTCCTGAGTTTCTTTCTTTGAATATATCTATACTGCTTAACTATAATTGGTCGCAAAGAATTCTCACCAATATCCTGACAGGTTGTTGTTCCAGCCTTACGATCGTTTTGAGTATTATTCTTTCTCTAAGCCGTACCATCGGACCTTACGGCTGCGACAATGTGCCAGAGCAGGCAGTTTGTTCAACAAACCCGAAAGTGCACTGAAAATCTTATTCGATGCTTACCATGGGAATCTAATCTCACCACAGATAACACTGACACAGAATTTTCCGATTTATACCACGATGTGTTGCATTGTCTTGACTGCACTTCCACAATTATTAACCAAGTGATTAATAATGCTAAAATGGGGCCAAAATATTTTTGAGCGGAAGCACCGCTACCACATGCAACATGACGTATATTCGCCTCAGAGTATGCTTACCGTGATTGACAGAGATGATTTACCCAACGCAAGTATCTCATGGAGAATAAGATCTTAGATAGTAAAAACTCAGACTTATCAATGCTCCGACTTTTCAAAAGTTGCATGAAATCAAATACTCTAAGTACAACCAGGTTTTAGATAGTTAACAGCAACATTATATTCAACTATGATACTATTTATCAACAGTTCAACCACTTTTCTCTATATAGACCACAAAACCGAAACTTCTGTCAATACGATTCTATTGTTGACACCTTAGCATCTATCCATAATTGATCTCACATCTACCAACATCAAGAATGCCACCACTACCCCAAAAAAGTCCCATAACGGTAAAACTGATGACGTTTCGCCATCAGTCGTTGTGTACGGTAGCAGAGATTTACCATTATTCATTTTACAACTGGAATATGAAATTTGTCAATGTGTATGGAAAACATCGCTTATCTCTCATAGTTTGAAAACGGGATCATGAAGAGATATTAGGCCCTTTAACAAGACATCTGTGCTATCACGAATCATGAAAAAAGATTCACACAGAGCTAATATCATTTTTACTTTCGGGAAGCATCATCTACCTATCTCAACATGGGTTTTTGACTGTGTAGTGCCAGTGAAATTCCACTGAGCCCTAGCCTAATTATCCGGCAGTTAGGTCATTGAGTATCAAACCGGTCATCGATCCTCGCCAAGGTCAAGGACAACCAACGCGCATCAGTTAATTGTACGCCATGGACTGGCTCATGCGGCGGGGGTCTTACCTTCGCTTGTATTTACTTTAGCTAATATAATTCTGTAATAAAGTCCTTTGTGTTGTACAGTCTTCAAAGCATCTATAATACCTTGATACGTCAATCGGGCAATCGACGTAAGGTACTGACCGCAATGTGTGACTTCGACGTTTGCTAGTTCGTCACCCCATTCCCGTCTAATTCGAGTAGGCCTCCAATCATTTCGACATAGATCATCTACGTTGGTGATCTATAACTGAGCGCATATGCTCCACATTACTTTGAAATTTTTCATCAAATTACCCGGCGAAGTGATATTGGTTAATCAGCAATAATTCTATGCTTCGATTTTAGTAGGGCCTTCGATAGTATCTCACACAACTTTCTTATAAAACTGTCCTCATTAGGTATGCTGGATCTCACTTCATCTTTGTTCAAATCTTTTTATCAGAACTTAGCCGAACGGTTCGCTTTAGATCTTGCTACTCCAAGCCTATGAGTGCAACAAGTGGGGTTATACAAAGAAGTGTGATAGATCTATTACACTCACTTCTTTCGAATAATGATGTTTAAATCTTTTCGATACGGTAAACCCTTCGTTTTTGATGATGGCCTAGAAATCGTTTATTAATTCTCGTGTTCTACCAAAGAAACCTACACTTCATCGGTAATCCAAGATGACATAAATAACTTTTAAGAATGGCCTGTTCCTTGAAATCTACCAATTAATGTTGACAAAAGTGGGTTTATTTACATTGGCCGAGCTTTAACCTAAATCTGGCTATACACAAACATACAATGAAACCTCTCAACACTGTTCATTATTCGAGTTTGATGTAAAGCAACAGTTTCAACTTTTCCGAACACACTGCATCTCAAGCATCTAAAGCAAAGAAGCTTATTGGATCATTAATGATGAATCTTAATAAGAACAACATATATAAGCTGAGGTCTAAATTGATTGCACTGAATTTGTCAGTATCTCAGAAAAAGGCCGTATTTAACTGTTTTGATGCTGTTTTCTCATTTTTCGTGTGCTTTTTTAGCTTCAATTTCATATTGGCCACAAGCAAGAGGTGATATGAAACTATGTCGGCTCCTCACATAGTTTTCATGCCGCCCACGTATCTTCCGACATTTTTGTTGGTGCAGATGTTGGCGATTTAGTTCTCTGTGGTGTGATCTGGTGGAATCTATGTACTTACTTACATACTTACTTACGCCTGTTACTCTCAATGGAGCATAGGCCGCCGACCAGCAATCTCCAACCCACTCTGTCCTGGGCCTTCTTTTCTAGTTCCATTAAATTCTTGTACATTTTTCTCATATCTATCTCCGTTTCCCGGTGTAATATGTTCTTTGGTCTTCCTCTCTTCATTTGGCCTTGGAGATTACAAGTGAGGGCGTGTCTTGTGACGCAGTTGGGTGCTTTCCTCAATGTGTGTCCTATCCACTTCCAGCGCCTCTTCCTAATTTCTTCCTCCGCTGGGATCTGGTTTGTTCTCTACCACAGTTGATTGTTGCTAATAGTGTCCGGCCAACGGATCCGAAGTATTTTGTGTAGACAACTGTTAATAAACACCTGTATTTTCTGGATGATGGCTCTCGTAGTTCTCCAGGTTTCTGCCCCATACAGTAGAACTGTCTTGATATTTGTATTGAAAATCCTTACCTTGGTGTTGGTTGACAGTTGCTTTAAGTTCCAGATGTTCCTCAGTTGTAAATATGCTGCTCTTGCTTCACCGATCCGCGCTTTCACATCCGCATCAGATCCACCATGTTCCTCAATGATGCTGCCCAGATAAGTAAAGGTTTTTACAACTTCCAAAGCTTCTCCGTCAATTGTGATTGGGCTGGTGCATGCTGTGTTGTATCAGAGGATCTTGCTTTTTCCCTTTGTATGTTGAGACCTGCTGCTGCTGAGGCTGCTGCCAAACTGTTCGCTATCTTTTGCATTTGTTGTTGCAATTGCAATAGGAGAGCTAGATCATCTGCGAAGTCTAGATCGTCCAGCTGCATCTTAGATGTTCAATGCATCCCAAGTTCCCCCCTAGATATTGACGTCTACATGACCCAGTCGATCACCAAGAGAAAGAGAAAGGGTGAGAGTAAGCAACCTTGCCTGACACATGTCTTTGCCCCGAACGACCTTGTCAACTATCCTCCATGCACAATTTTGCAGTTGAATCAATCATAGGAATTCCGTATGATATTGACTATCTTCTGAGGCACGCCGTAGTGTCGAAGAAGCTTCCATAGTGTTGTTCTGTCCACGCTATCAAATTCTTTTTCGTCGTCAATGAAGTTGATGTAGCGTGATGGATTGCATTGAATTGATTGTTCCACAATGATCTGTAGAGTTGCGAGTTGGTCTGTACACGATCTATCCTTACGGAATCCTGCCTGTTGGTCACGAAGCTGGGTGTCTACGCAGTCTTTCATCCTGTTTAACAATACCCTGTTGAGGACTTTTCCAGGTATTGAGAGAAGAGTGATGCCCCTGTAGTTATCACACTTGCCGAGATCGCCTTTCTTTGGTATTTTGATCAGAAGTCCTTCTTTCCAGTTTGTTGGTACTTCTTCCTCATCCTATATCTTATTGAAGAGAATGTGGAGTATCCTTGCAGTTACTGCTACGTCTGCTCTCAGTGCCTCTGCTGGAATATTGTCTGGTCATGCTGCTTTGCCACTCTTGATTTGTCTGATGGCTATGCTGATTTCTTCAATTGTTGGTGGGCCAACATTGATTGGGAGTTCCGTGAGTGCTGCTTCGATATTGGGTGGATTCAGTGGGGCTGGTCGATTCAAGAGTTCTTTGAAGTGTTCTACTCACCTGTTTCGTTGTTCCTCAATGTCGGTGATTACCTTGCCTTCCTTGCTTTTCACAGGTCGTTCTGGTTTGCGGTGATTTCCAGACAGTTTCTTTGTTGTGTCACACAGTTGTCTCATGTTTCCTTCTCTTGCAGCCTTTTCCGCCGTCGTTGCTAAATCTTCCACATATTTACGTTTGTCGGTTCTGATGCTCCTCTTCACTTGCTTGTTTACTTCTGTGTATTCAGCTTGTGCCTTGGCTTTCTCTGCTCTTGTTCGGTTGGTATTGATTGCTGCCTTCTTGTTCCTCCTTTCTTGAATCTTATCCAGTGTATCAACAGTGATCCATTCCTTGTGATGTTGCTTCTTGTGGCTAAGGACCTCATGGCATGTTGAAGTGATTGCTTCCTTGATCCCCGTCCAGTTGCTCTCCATAGTAGTTCGTTCTCCATTGAGTAGATCATGAAGGTCCTGGAATTTATTGCTGAGGACTATCTTGAATTTGTTGAGTTTGTCAGTATCCCGAAGAAAAGCCGTATTGAACTTTTGTGATATTGTTTGCCCCATTGTCCAGTACTTCTTGAGTTTCAATGTCAGCTTGGCGACCAGCAAATGATGATCTGATTTTATATCAGCTCCTATCTTGGTTCGCACGTCCTCCATCGTCCTCCTGAACGTTTTGTTGGTGCATATATGGTCGATTTGGTTTTGCGTGGTGTTATCCGGTGAAGTCCATGTGATTTTGTGAATGCGTTTATGTGGGACCAGTTTATTGAAGGCACATAGGTTTGCAAATCTCTCACCATTTTCGTTCCTTTCTCCTAGTCCGTGTCGTCCTATGATGTCTTCATATTCAGTGTTGTCCGTTCCAACCTTGGCATTGAAATCTCCCATCAGAATGGTCAGGTCCTTTGTTGGGCACTTCTCGATGATTGACTGCAGCCTGTAGTAGAATTGATCTTTAGCGTCTTCATTGTGGTCGTTGGTAGGCGCATAGCATTGGATGATTTTCATTGAAATGCCCTCTTTCGTTGTTTTGAAGGAGGCTTTGATGATTCTTGGTCCATGAGATTCCCATACTATAAGTGCATTTTGCGCTTGTTTGGACAACATCAATGCGACTCCTAGTGTATGTGACGCATTTTCTTCTTCATGAACGGAGTATAACAGAAGCTGTCTTGAAGTTGTTGTCCATCTTGTATCCAATGTGTTTCACTGATCCCGAGCAACTCTAGGTTGTATTTCCTAATTTCTGCAGCAATTCGGAAGGCTCTCCCGGTGTCCCACATTGTACGAACATTCCATGTACCTTAATAAATGGTTGCTCTGGTTGTCAGAAGGGGCATCGGCCTCGTGACTACCGAAGGAACTCGGCTTTCATCATGAGGCGTCACAACTCTTCTAAATGAAGAACTTCTGACTCCAGGGCAGAGTTTAAAAGGTTTGAATATTTTTTTCTGGTTAGCGTTTTTTTGGCGAGTAAGTTTTCTACGGGATGAGGTCGCTAACCCCATGCCCAACCGTCCTCTTTTATCCGGGCTTGGGACCGGTAGTAGCCCCCGAAGGATCTCCAGGTGGAGTGGTGGAATCTATGTAGTTTTTTTCATAGGTCTGTGAGAAGAAATGGTGTCATCTGTATCCATTTCATTGAATGGACATAAATATGCAAATACCTTCCCTTTCTCGTTCGTTTCTCCCAGTCCGTCCCGCAACATGATGTCTCTTTACTCATTGTTGTCCACTCCGTCTTCAGCGTTTAGGTTTACAATCACGGTGATCTGGTCCTTTCCCAAACACTTTGCTACGATAGACTTCAGCCTCTAATTGAACTGATCTTTGTCATCTTCATTGACGGATGCTTAGCACTTGATAGCATACTTTGTGATCCATTTCTAATTTGTTTTGAAAAATGCTTTGGTGATTTCGGATCCGTGAGATCCCTATTCTAAGAGTGCTTTTCATGCTTTTTTGTACAACGTCTAAGCGATACTCTAGGTGTGTATAGATTTTTCCTCCTAGTGACTGGAGTACAGCTTTCGTTGTCCAGCTTCGATCCAATGCGTTTCGCTGACTCCGAGAAATAAGAAGTTGTATCTCCTCATTTCCATAGCTATTTTGGTTGGCCCTTCTAGTCTCCCAAATATTCCGAAAATCCCATTTAACTATGCCAATAGTTGATTTGGTTCTCAGGTGATGCTTCTGACTGGTGATTTACGCAAAATATTGGCTTTATCATGAGACGTTATAATTCTTCTGAGTGAAGATCCCTCAAGTGCCAAGGCAGAGCTAAAACGGCTCAAATAATTTTTTATTTATGCATTTCTTAAGCAAAGTTGTTTCACAAGGATATATATGCATCTCTAACACATCTCATTTACTCGGTCTCGAGACAAAATATAAAACTAGAAGCGCTACAGCAGGAGTCTTATTGTTACTGTAGTAGTGTGAAATATAATTGTTTAAGATGTACAAAATATGAGCGAACAACACGTTTGCTAATTTTATGTTCCTTAGATTTTGTTGAACCGTCTTCGGTGACACTTATGTTAAGTGGTGTGGCTAACAACTATTTTCAGCGCTTGATGTTGCCGGTGGAATAAGGTTTTGTCACTGATGAAATAGATTTTATTTAGGCTTATGTATGCGTTATACGTAGTTTTCGCACCTCATAGTCATGCAAAAGTCTTATGAGTCTCATGAGCTATGGAGTTTTTTGTACATTATTATCGCACCGCTTATTATCCTTCTATAGCACACAGATAATAGTCTTACGTCTTAAAATTGATCTTCATCAGTTCTGTAAAACGATAAATTGTAAAGAAGTTCTATTTTTTCGAAAAACCCTCATTTTTGGAGAAAACGGGTAAGACAATGTTGTGAGTACAATGATTTTGACGAACGTACACCTTAAACAGTGTGGAAAAAGACCAAAAGTTCTCATGCTCAGCTTTCTTTAAACGAGGTAAAGTATAACTTAGGATAATTAGTCACCCACAAGCAGTTGTCGCTGAACAGTTTTCAAGATAATTTCGCAATATGTAAATCGCGAGATGACAGCTTGAGATACTGGTCGTACTATTTTTGAACCAAAGACCAGAAATAACGATTTTTTTCATAATTTGCCAAATGATACTTTTCTCAGTGGACGGCTTATATATGAAACTTGATAAACACGTACTCACCCAAGGATTCCTATCTCCCTCTTGGAGCGGCTGTGTCTGATGTTTGTACCATATTGTACTAAGGTTATCACAACCGCTAATCTGAAACCATTTCATACATTGTCTATTATCAACTACGTTTCTCCACTTATTCTTTCATTTTCGTCTGTTCACACTGTTCTCATCATTAGCTAATCAACATATCTATTTATTTCTTGAAACAGTAGTCTTCTTTAAGCACTCAAATTATCACTTTACTGTTTTTCTCAAAGTGACTAACCACGAGCTACGAAATCAGTTAGGAGACTGAAATTCAAGCCGTACAAAGAGTGCCTCAAATCACTTAAATTTGGCCCATTAGAGGATAGGCCTATGAAATCCTAAACACTCCTTAGCATCACCTTGCATAACTACTTAAACTCTGTCCTAACACAAAAGCCTAGGGGAGATACTCTGAAATAGAAGACACAAAACACAAGAACGGACTTTAGGGATACGTTTCTACTTTTAACAAGTGTTTTAACAGTCAAATTCACTAGTCGATCTTAGCTACATCATCAACAAAAATCTGGATACGCAGAACTGCAGTTTCATCCTAGTATGAAACCCAAATTCTGGAATTTTCTGCAGCTGGCGCATTCTAAAACACGTGAAATATTCTAACGGATCAAGGAGAGTACCTGGCTGTAACTTACTAATACATACCCCTTGTTGTTAAATATTCTCAGGTTTCTACCTGGAAGCATAGGTGCTACAGAAGACTGTTAGACGAAAGCTTTTTTCAGAACCATTTTAAACATTTAAACAACCTCTTGCCTGGTAATGTGATAGCTTCTGGTATTCAGGATCTCTATTGTCCTGAGAAAAAACGCGTTCGAATTACGAAATATAAAATTCCACAAGTAACCACCACAGTGACTAGAATTCGTGTAGTCGTGTGGCTAGACTACCGTCAATTAGATACTACTAAATACCTTGAACTATAACAAAACAACAGCGATCGAGAGCGAAGAAATCACACTGTTTAAACAAGCCTATGACAAAGATATTGTTTTTTCAAGGTCATCACTTCGTAGTTGTTATGGCTATGTCTGTTGTGTTTTTCAAAACGTGAACAGCGAATTTTGTTTAGAGCTCGAACAGAAATGAGTTTTTCTGAGAATCCGAATTCTCAAAGTGAACAAAATCATGAGGAATTTAAAACGCTACCTGACGAAAGTCTCGGAACGGTTGAACAACATGGTATTTTGAATGATAACTCACGTAGAAATGAAGTGGATGTTGAAACTGAACAAAATGATTTAATTGTTCTTGATCCAGATCACGTAGGTTCCGTTGATTAATTTTCCAAACTAAAAAAAGCCGTTGATGAGGCGTTTTCAAGAGTCTCTGAGAAGCATGCTCACCAAACATATTGACAATACGGAGATTCACCTGAGGGAGAAAGTATGTTTCGGATATTCTTCATAATAATAAATAGGACGAAGAAATGAAAAGAGAAAAGACAGCTCACATTGAAGTTGGTTGCGTTCTGTATAACCTTCAACAGGAACTTGCAAAGTAAAATGAACAGATTTCCATAGTTTCCTCATAGTCTTGTGTTTACAAAGCCTAGGATAATAATAATAGATTTCCATACTCCTAAAAGTCACGGATTTGTTTTCTTCGGAGAGTTAGATGCATAGCTTTTAATAATGAAACTCGATTTCCAGAAACGAAATTCTAGTAGGAGTTATACTAATTTGGAGAATAATACACCATTTAAGGGATTTATAGAATCTAGACTTCTCCTTGTAGTTTGCTAACACCAACGTTGTAGACAACTTAACGTTTATAGCACTTTTTCCTTAATAAGATAAGGGTTTTCTGTGGTATTATAAAATAGTTTATTATCACCAGATTCATTAATACTTTTTATCGGAAAGAGAGCTCAATTAAATCATAAAATGGCCCTCATGTGAATGGTCTTGAGTTGTAAATATATATTTAGGTTTGCTTCGGAGAATAAAGAAGTTGATTCAAGGAGAATTTCTTGTGATAAGTATTCTGTAAGTAAATACTTCGGCATTCCTAAATTTTACATTGCGTAAAAGTAGCCCTTCGTTTGTTCCTGTTATAATATCAAACAGTGACCACACTGTCTGGGTGCTATGTATCGTAGCTAAAGTATTTCTCACTCAAATCTTAGCAAACACGGTATAGTGGCAACTGACTGAATACCCATATACTGTTAAGTACACAGATCGAAAACCTACTATACATATTCCTTTTTATAGGTAATTGGCATATTTAAACTGCGGTTAAACTTTTAGTTTTTAAGTTTAGGTTTTAATTAAAGTATTCTATATGCTCGCAATTTCGATATGTTTGTGAAACATAATATAACTGATCTGTCATAAATCATTTCAATAAATTGACAAATGATTTTTAGTAGGGTTACAAATCATGTAACATAATCAAAATCCTGTATTTGTAAAAGGGTGTTTATTATTACGATATATCGGATAACTTGTGTCACGGATTTCGTAGGTGAAAAACATGTTTTCATCAGTTAACAAGTTTTATCGGAGGGCAATGCTAATTTTTTTACGTCCGAAATTTTAAGCTATAAGGTTAAACTAGTAATTATTATTGATTCGACAGCACAAACTAACGAATTGATAGATCAAGTGTTAACTTATCTTAGAATTACATTAGAAGCTGACTACTGAAACAGCATATTGTAACTCTTGAGATTTATAACTTTGAAGAATACTACATTTTGCGTTTCAGGTTAATTCCTTTCCATAGTTTCTGTCGAGTGTCTTCCGTACAGTGCAAACGTCGTAACAAACGCTTTCCGACTTTCATAAGATGGATAAGTAAACTAATTTTGTATGACTACACTTTGAAGAAGAATAAGAAAGCACTTTGGTCTTGTTTGATATTTGGAGTTTTTACATAGAAATACTCATCAATGAATATATTGTTGAGCGAACTAGTTAGATGCAGAGACGCAGTATTTTTAGCCTTTCTCCAGAATAGCTTTGTGCTTGCATAATTAAACAAGAACTATAGGTTTTGTTCATATTTAAGCATACATTATTTTTGATATTCTTTATCCTTATTGAAAGCATGGTATATAAATAACCAAATAAATTTCAATGCACAAATATATATATATATATATATATATATATATATATATATATATATATATATATAGTTAAGGGTGTGGACTGTAGTGACTGTACATAAAAATGGATCTGTGCATTTGATAGTAACAACAAAGAAAAAGAAATACAGTGCTTTTGTTGATTTACCAGGTAAAATTGAAACTTATATGTACATTTCTTTAAGACGAGTAACTTGTTTTTTTAGTATTATATGATATATGTAATTTTGTGATGGTAAAAACTCAACTAATTCAAGTTACTGAGGTGAACTTCGTGTCACAGATATTATACACATTTAAATAATGAACCCCTTCCAACTGTTTTAATAAATCAGTTTTCATTTTATTAACGGGTTCAACTGAACTTGAAGCTGATCAAGAGCTGAAGCAAGATAAAATGTTTGAACAGCCCTGATTGGCTTTCTTAGTACTGGATATGATGACATTCGAACAACACACGTAGTAGATAGTTGATTAAAATTATAGAAATGTGAATATAAAATCCTGCCGGACAATAGGTTTTTTTGTTTTCTATAAAAATGCATTTTTTATTTTGATTAGCTGCTATCAAAACATAAGGTATTTTATTGATTATGAGATAGTCTCTCTCAAAGTGTACTTTTAAAGTTTGCATTCAACTATTTGAGATATGTTGATTTTATTCCTTAGTAAAGTGATCAACGGATAATTTTGTAGTGTAGATTTATTAAAAGCTGTACAACAACAACACTTATGCTGCTGATGTAGCTAGCGAATATGAATAAATTAGGCTGTAGAGTATTTAGATATTGTTCGTTGTTCAACTTATTATTTTCGGAGTAATTTATAGCCATAGCTCACTCAAATCTTCCTATTCCTTTATTCTTTTTGTGTGATAATAATACTCTTTTATATTTTAATGTTCAATGTTGTTCGTTATATAACTGATTATTCGAAATAAAGTTTTTTTAAGAATTCAATCGGATTGACTCCACATGTGTTTACTTCAATTTAAGGTTTCAGTTAAACTTAGATAACAAACATAATGAATATGCGGAATATCATGGAAGGTATGAAAATGCTCAGAATAAGCTCACAACTCTCCGAGAAATGTACCAAACGTCTGTTAAAACAATGTTGCAAGAGACTAAAAAAATGCATTCTATGCGTGATGAAGTTGATGCATTATGTTTGCGATTATACTACTTAAATAAAGCTAAGGAAGACGTTGGTGGAGATTTGCTGGTATTGCAAAGGGCAGTTGAAAAAGTTCACACTGATTTAAGCAAGGTAAGCTGATATAATTAGTGAATTATCACAGAATTTGTAACGTTCTGAAAAATAGTAGATATATAAACAAAAAGTACAAGCACTACTTTTTATCTTAAAGTGCTTTCAATCCATAGTTTTTACTGATTGTTTCATATTTTTCTTAAAGCGGTCGCATTTGTCTAGAATTTGATAGCTTTTGAAGCATTGTGTTTTCAGGTTCTTTGGACGTAAATTTGTCTTTCAAACCAATCCTTATCAGAACGGCCTGATTTTGTTACATAACTGTGGATTGTTTTTCTAAATTGCATTGATTAACCATTGAATAGTTAGCAATGTCATATTTTTCTGGTCATCAGTGCTGAAGAACGAATATCGTGTGCAACTAGCGTAGTGGTAATTACAAAAACGTTTTACTCTGAATTAATACGAAAGAATGATATACTGAAAAAATACGACGCTAAATTAGTAAGCGATCTCCCTTTTTATCCCACCTTAACACTACTTTGTTGTACAAAGTAATCAGTTTATCTTATTAAGGACACAATAGCCGAGCTGTTCTTCAAAAGATGTCAACATTTGCATGATGACGCAGACATAGGTTTGGTCTCTTCTAAGCTCTAAATAAGGGTTCCGGGATATAGTGAACATTAACAAATAAAGGTAAGTAAACTGTGTACACGGTTGGTAATCAGTCAATATATTTTCTCAAAACTGTAAATAACATTCAGAAGTCAATTTCATCTATTGGGAATGCTTTTTATTGTCTTTTACCAGTAGAAAACGTGTGTTAGCGTGATATACGCTAGATAAGGCATGTTCCGTACAGTTTTGTATTGAGGCATACTGATTGACCATTTCCTAGCCAATCGGAACTACCTGATACTTGAAGAAAACTATAGTAGCTTCTTGTGTAAAATTATAAATATACTAACGTTTTTCATATAATGCTTTCTACCTCTATTCAGCCTTGTTTATTTGGAATATAATTACGTTCTTGTTCAACAGTGTTCTGATTTGTGGACTTGTTGAGTGAGGTGAAGTGTCTAAAAAACGTTAAACAATAGGAGTAGCTGGGTCACGATAATTGAAATCATAACAGCGTGTCGTAAAGTAGGAAGTTTATCTAATGCCAAGTACCTCCTCAAGACTGACGTATCTTATCAGGTTTGTCATGATTGTAAATATTTAGTCGATCATGTGAATTGATAACTTAGTTATGTTAGTCAAACCTTCAGAAAAGTGGGTTAATACTATTCGTTTAAGAATGAAGTACTAACCACGCGATACATATACTATAAAAGACAAATATTATACTATTTGTTACTCATTTCATTGAAATTTGAAGAGAGGTTTGACATTTTCCATATTTTATAGTTTGAAGATGAGAAACTCCGACAAGACCTTTCGGTTGATCGTATGCAAACTAAAGTTGACCAACTAAAAGATGATATTAACTTATATGAAGCTCAAATAGTAGCTCAAGAAATTGAAATGAATACAAGTCAAAATCTTTTGTACGAGGCTGAGGCACAAATAGTTGCTATAAATGTTGACAAAGCGCATTTACTTACTCAGTGGAAAACCAGTTTGCTTGGCTTACAACGTAGAAATGAAGCATATGCAGATTTATTAGCAGCTTACAAGTAAGTTTTATTTGGATTAATAAGATCTATGAACCACAAAATTATAGATTACTGGTGAGTAATATTTCAGTTTACGACAAATGAAAAATCAAGGACAGACTTAGACATGTAACTTATGAAATGTACAACTGTTTTACGGTCTACAATTTTCGAGTAAATTGAATAGATTTTAATGGTTGAGGCATTCTAGTTTTACGGAGATTTAGAATAATAAACTTACCCTAAACGCATGAAACAGCCGTTCATTGATTGTATAGGTTTATGTATAGACCTGAGTGACGTATTCATATGCTATTTCAGAAAAAGCAACACCACCTTCAAATAAATCCCCTCTTGATGTATTACACGACAATTATGAGTAGGGTTAGATTGCAGAGATATTTTTTTCACTGCTCCGGTTCAAAAGGTACTATTATATTTATAATAAAGTAAAATAGCTCTTATTTCATAAATAGGATTACTAATCGTTTCAATTTAGTGACTATGTGTACATCACGTATTTGTTAAATATAGTCATATTTTTCTGTTAAAGCAGGACTTGACTCGACAATCCTGTCGATAACTTTCGTTATTGGTCAACTGACTTTAGTTTGCGACTGAGTATTATTTAATACATCTAGTGAACAGTCAATGGCATAGGTATCAAGTATCCAAAAACGTTATTTGTTTATTTTAATGAACGGTAGTGTAGTTACGTGATAGCTAGCCACTATCCAACTAGACAATATAAAAGTCATATTGCCTAAAAGGTTATGTGTTATGTTGTTAAACTAAGTCAGTTTTCTGTATATCAGTGTTTTTCCCCGACCGTTCTTGCTACCTTGACGTGGTGGTCAGGCTTGCCTATCGTGATGAAGCAACCGAGCTATACTGGCTGGAACAACCGTTCCTCAAGGTCCTACCATGTCAAACAGGTCGGTTGAAGAGCGGTAAGACTAAAAGCAACAAACCCAAGGTCCGAAGGCGAAGTCGTACTGCTGACTGTGCAAAGGTGTGACGACAGTAAGATGTTTCCCTCAGACAACCAGCATGACAGCGATGCTGCCTTCCCACAAGGAGGGGTGGGGTTAGAAATGGTAGACCCTAAAAATGCACACCTCGTCTTATCCCACGGATATCCGTCTCCGGCGGTAAGGTCTCGACAAGTACAGAGCTAACACAAAAATTACTCATAAAAATGTCGTGTGTGACTGACCTCAAGCAATTGTCCCTTGGACACTGCGGTCACGCTTTCAGGTCACTGAGACCACCTCTAATCGAATTTCCTTTTCAAGTACCTCCAGAAGAACCCTTCCACGGTGTGTTCAACCGGGAAGTGATAACCGTCCTCATACTTCTAACAGCACTCAAGACCACTGTATTCATAATCAACCTTCCTCTTCAATTTCTATTATTCCTCCTACATCGACTTTCAACTCTAACCTTCCTTTTTCGGCTTCCTCCTCAAGTGTCACCATAGCCAACGATTCTAGTGCTCAAAACTCTGTCCCAGGTCTACTGAAACCTCGCTCCAAACTACACATTGGAGCCTTCGACATACGCACCCTATGTCAAATCGGTCAGCAGGCTCAGATGATGTGAAATATGAATTTTACAGAAAGCTTTCTGAACTTCTTCAGAAAGCTAAACGCTCAGACATAGTACTCATAGGGGGTGACTTTAATGCTCAGATAGGTAGCTTAAACCAAACAGAAAGGCATTTAGGTGGATATTTTAGCATTCCGGCACAGCGAACAGATAATGGTGATCGTCTTTAAGGATGGTGGTCCAATTTTAGCGATTAGGTTGACTAATATTTTAGCTAAGATCTGGGAGTTAGACGTTATCCCATCTAACTGGTCACAATCACTTATCGTCCCAATATATAAGAAAGGGTCAAAACCATCCTGTGACAACCACAGAGGGATTAGTTTAACTAATATAATATCTAAAATACCAGCTTCGATAAATATCAGACGACTAACTAAGACTCGTGAACTGCAAACACGAGAAAATCAAGCTGGCTTCAGACCTGGACGTGGCTGCATCGACCACATATTCACCATTCGTCAGATTCTAGAACATAGGCATATTTATCGGCGTCCGACAATCGTGGTCTTTCTTGACTTGAAAGAAGCATTTAATTCCGTATACCGCGAGATTCTGTGGCAGTGTCTGTCATGGGAAGGCGTACCACAGAAGTACATAAACCTCGTGAAGATTCTTTACTCGAACGTTACCAGTCGTGTCAGAGCTTATGGCGAGCTGTCATCTGTCTTTGCAACCTCAAGTGGTGTCCGTCAAGGCTGTCCACTTTCTCCATTTTTGTTTAACTTCATCATAGACCTATTGATGGAAATAACATTCTCGTCTACTGAATTCTCGGGTATCGATCTCCTACCAGGAGGTCCACTTATCGACTTAGAATACACAGACGACATATTCCTATTGGGTGGAGTAGCTGATAAAATACAGAGTCTTTTGGTAGCACTGAGCGACAATGCCAGAATGTTTGGAATGCGCTTCTCTCCCTCTAAATGCAAGTTGTTGCTTTAAGACTGGTCTGCGTCAACACCTGAACTAGGCATAGGGAGTGAAGTAGTCGAACGCGTTGGCAGCTTCACTTATCTTAGAAGTCTGATCAGCCCTAATGGGTTGGTGTCTGACGAAATGTCAGCACGGATTCGAAAAGCTCGCTTGGCGTTTGTCAACTTGCGTCACCTTTGGCGAATGAGAGATATCCGTCTATCAATAAAAGGACGAGTATACTGCGCGACAGTCCGTTCTGTTTTAGTCTACGGCAGCGAGACATGGCCATCAAGAGTAGAAGACACTCGTAAGCTATTAGTATTTGACCACAGATGCCTTAGAATTATTGCTGGCATCTGCTGGGATCACCGGGTAATAATTAGTGAGGTTAGACGCAGGCTATTAGGAAAGGATGGTAAATCAGTTGATGAGATTGTGAATCTTCATCGACTGAGATGGTTGGATCATGTGTTGCGTACGCAATGCTATCCGGTATTGGAGATGGTTGGAAGAAAGTCAGGGTTGGCCAAACCAAAACGTGGCATCAGTGCTTGAAGACACTAACTTCTAGTCTGAGCCATTTTGGTAGATGCAGACTACTTGGTTGGGGTCCGCGTGACTTTCGTAACCAATGGTTGGAGACTCTTGGTGACATGGCTCAGAATCGATCACAATGGTGTGGGTGTATACACTCTTTGTCTTCCCTTAAACTAAGAGATCAAAATTCGCTTCATATCTTTCTTTCTACGAACCAATTCTTTCTTCTTGTACTATATCTCTATATGCAATCTTTCTTTTAAATATTACCACCTTTGACCTAACCACTGCTATGAATCCGGTGTTCATCTTGTTGTGCTGATGCATTATGGCAACCTGGACCGATGCATATATGTGCCTGGTCCTACGTTGTAGCTGACTGACTGACTGATATAAGTGGTTTTCTAGTTCTCGAGATTTATTGAGAACGATATCAACGTTTTGAGTGAAAGTGACAGTTAAGATTATTATAGTCTAACAGACGTTGGTTTAAAATACTCGTCGTTTACGATTTGATACACATGATAAGCAAATCAGTAGGAGCTTTGAGCGTTTTTTTGGATGTTTGGACAACCATCGATTTACTGCCAAGTTACCAGTAACAATAACGACATCTCTAGATGAGAAAATTAAATGAGATAATTAATTGTCAATTGTCAAGAAATTTCATGTTCTGTATTTTAAGATTCACTGATGAATGTTCTAATATAAGGCTGAATACTTTTGTTGGGCGAAATACTTGTAACGATAAATCATATGACGATTGGTAATCTAATAACAGTTGATAATTTACACTTCAGAATACAAAATTAAGCAGATACTAGTGTATATTGTGTTAACGGTACACTTGATGAGATTTTTATTAGGTATGATTGACGAAACATTTAGTTCATATTTGTCCTAGAAATCAAACAAACAATTTAAGATATTCAAACTCACTTTATAGTCTAGCTGTCAAAATAATTGATGAATATTTTTCATTTCAGACTCTTAGAAGTGTACAAATATGACTTTGACCCAATGTATTCATAAAAGTATCAATTTATTCACTAATTCTCTTCACTTTATAAAAGTCATATTCTCCATATATGCCAACTCGGAGATAAACAGAAAATTCATCATCTTTGGTAATTATCTTCAGCCAGTACAATAAGTAGTTTACTTATCGGTTAAACTGATGTTCTAGCAATCGGAGATTGAGAACTATCACACATTTCTATGTAACTACAACTTGAAGAATTGTATGCAAGATTTGTCGACTTTATTTACTATCTGAGGACTAAATTAGGGATCAGTTCACCTTAATATCTTTTTTATTTGAATAGTTTATTACTATGTGACAAAAATATTGACAATATTCTGGTGTAATTTTTTGTTTGGTTTTAATTAAATACTACTATTAATATTTTCAGTAAGCTGAAAGAAGAATTACTTGTTTTAGAAAATGAACAAAATGCATATAAGCTTTCAATTAACAAAGAACAAGAAACACATGAACGGTTGACAGGACTACAAAATAAAAATGAATCAGACTTGAATACTTTGCGTAAACAGTTGTTACATTCAGAAACAAAACTTGAGGCTGATAAACAAGCTTACACAACATATTCAAGAATCTTACTGGAAACTGAACGTAATCTTTTCAATGCTAAAACAGTAAGATACTCAGAAATATTTTGCAAGTATCAATCTAACAAAAAAGAATTTACTCTTTATGATAGAAAACGTTTTTTTCTATGATGAAAAGCGAAACCAGTACAAACAAACACGCTTACTTTAAGCAAGATCTTGTTAAATTAGAATAATGATAACAATCATTAGGTAAATGTAAAGGAAGACTTTAAAGTTTTACTTAAGTTACAATCAGTAAAATAAAATTGCATGCATATATTTTCAATGCAAGCAAATTAAAAATTATCGCTCAATGGAGTTTCACAGGAAGAACTTATGTTAAGGAAAGATTAATTCCTAAAATAACATTGGTTTATTTTGAATATTGATTGGACCTTGTTTTCGTAGATTTTTGTTGCACTAAAGTAAATTCTTGTTTCATATGGTTCTTATTATCGTAGTTATATCAAAAAACATTAAAACGTCTTAATATAAAGAAAGAGATATCGTAAAGCTTATCTGTTAACAAACATTTACGAAATGAGTAAAACAGTAAGTAGCTACTTTCTTCAATTTAATGTTTATCAAACTTCCTGAGATTGGAACTCCAGTTTGTAAACTGAAGCGTCTTGGATCTTAGTAAATTATCTATGTTAATTTTATTTGTGTTTATTAATTTCTTTTTCACTATGGTCTCTTTTAAAAAGTGGTAGAAGTAAGATTATCTAGAATTGTCAACTACCATGCCGTATTCTTTGAAATATGCTTTCGATCCAAAAATAACTGATTATGAGTATTCGTTACCTGAATATTATTACGTTACTTTTTTACAAAGTTTTACTGCCCTTTATAACATTCATATAGAATGTCTTACTCGCTACTTAAGTGAGGGAAACTAGTTAGATTCAAAATAAAAGTTGACAATATTTTTAGAGGTTTTAAATTTCTAAGTCGTATCATGTTCGTGTAGCACTATATTCCTTCCCAATCTAAACGTGAACAGTACTGGTTCCATTCCAAAAACTAAACATAAAATTCGTTTGATAGGGTATGAGGTATAAGAATTCATAAAATTCCTTGAAAATATCCACCTTTTCGTAAATCACTGTACAGAAAATTCGTGTTTACACATTTTTGAGTTTAACCTTCCCTTTTCTTAAAATGTTGACATGATTAATTTTTTAGATACATCAGCCTAGAAGCCTATGAAATTTCTACCGTAAAAAGATGTTAAACTATCTCTGCTAACAGCTCAATATTACACTGAATCAGGAATAAGTTCGTTTTTGCTGTAGCTCGGATGTTTTCCCTTATTAATATAAACTTGCAATTTTAGAGCTATCGCATAATATGAATTGAGTGTTTCAAGGGAAACATATCGTAATAATTTAAAAAGAACACACAACTCTTCTAGTATAGATGACTTTACCAGTAAGTTTCATAAACGATAGAATCTAAATAGATATCTCTCTAAATTGTTGATATGCGTACTGTCTAAGGGGAGATGGAAGCTATCATACATACTTGTATCTTCGTTTCGTTATATACAAGGGACCTTTGGCATTAAAAAAGGAAGTTCACTTAATAAACCAGTATTGTGGTTCACCAAATGTTATAGAATTTTATCACGAGGTAATAAAAATTATGGTTTTGGATATAGTTAAGTTGATAAAAACCTGAGCACCACAAAAGTTTCAAACTCTAATATTTAACGACTTGCGTTGTCGAAACTCAGACTTGTTCCCAGATATTTGTAAGTACCAGGAAGTCAACTCTGTACACATGGAAATATTACTCTACACAATTAATTATTTCCAAGTGCTTCATAACATTTTTGTTTTATTACAGGAGAACAATACTGCTCAAGCAAATGTAAACAATATCCGCAAACAACTTGAGAAGAAGGTATTAGAGAAACAAGATTTAGAGAAAAAAATCTCCGAAGAATTGAGAGATCGGTTGACCGCGCAAAAAGCTGCTAATTATGCTAACAAAATCAATATAAACGTACAAGATCAAAGTAGAGAATTACTAACACAAGCAAGTGATTTTTTATTTCCTAAAAATCATAAAATCAGTTTCTTTCTAACCTGTATTTGTGGAGATGAAAAGGTTCATACTCTATCCAAATAAAACCATGATTCGCTTAATCTTCTTATGTAACATTTGTGCATGAAATAAACTGTAGTTTTTATGCTCGCAATGAATTTTTAAAAATTTTTTTTATCAAATACTGAACCCTCTTTAACACACACGGCTATGCCTCATAAGTTATGCTCTTGTGTACTGTTGGCGAATAGAACTAATCCAGATCACTTATTGTTCTTTATTTAGACCACACTGACTTCATCACATGGAGTTTTGTCTAAAGCTTTCAAATGCTCTAAGTTACATATAAGTAATTTATAATTAATTATGATAACCAGTTAATATTCATGGATCATGGACGCGACAGTGTTTCAAATTTGATAGTCATCTATGAAGAACTAAGGTATTTATGAAATTTTCTTCTTAGTACAATACAATTTACGTCACATGTATAACAGTTTTATGAAATGTAGAAGATTTGTTCAGGATAGAAGGACAGTGTAGAAATAGAACAGTCAAGCAACAGTACAACCAGATTGAACATATGGTGTGATATATATATATATTCTGTTTTACTAGTGTTAAATCATGTTTATATTTCTTTCTATCTGTTTATTTCTATTTTTAACAAAAGATTGTACAAATGGAAAATCAGATTGCTAAAGACGAGTTAGGCGTAGCACATAAAAAGGCCAGGAATAAGCAACAACAAGAAAAAGTTAGTGAATTAGAACGAGAAATCGATAACACAAATCTATTGATCACTAAGCTGGAAGGTGAAATACATCATGCTAATATTTCAGTCGAACGTAAACAAGGGAACATTGATATATTAAATAAGAAATTGGAACGTTTAATTCGTGACTGCGGTGTAAGTATTCGACCGTGAGATTAATTTGGATTTTTTATTAACTGAAATAACATTTTTCCGTAGTTTTGAATGATATACATTTTTATCTTAACTGAGCAGCAAATGATCTAATATAGTGTTTTTAATTTGTTACATATTCCGAAAGCTTTTAGTTTTGTTATAGGTAAATTAATTAAGTGGTTACTGTAAATAGAATCATAAATACCAAATTTCCATCATATATATCCCCGGTTCTTTACCATACTGATGAATACTGCTTTTAGAAAGCTTTCCCTCCGAAAAGTGTTCATTATTTATATTACACTTTATAAGGGGGTTAGCAAAGATTTTTAATTAAGTTTTCATATGGAAAGAACTGTGATAAACAATAAAGATATTAGTGACTAATTAATAACTAGTAATGTTTCACAATTCTAAATAATAAGTAACCGTAACGCACAAAACAAGTCACTAGATATTTAGAACCTGGTTTGAGATGAAATTGAGTAATAGAAGCTTTTGAGCTACTTGATCAAAGCAAAAACCTGTTCATGAAGAGTATATACCTCACTCGATAACCAAGTTCATCTTTATTCATTATCTACTCAAAGTCAAGCATATTGTACGGAGATACTTTTTAATGACAAATCGTCAAAAAAGTTTAAGAGGAAAATAAGTTTATGTTTACTAATTATTAGCCGGTTTTGATACTAAAGATTTGTATGTATTACAACCATAATTACTATAACTATAATACATCAGTTATATATATATATATATATATATATATATATATATATATATATATATATATATATATATATATATATATATATATATATAACTAAAAAATGTAATTAAAAATAGTCGAATAACGTAAGATATCATTTATGAATAATGACATGTAACGTCAGATTAAAAATTTCTAACTACACCTTAGTTTTATATTCAAACTGTCAGTACAGGGTTTCAGGTTATTTAACTTCTAAAGAAACTTTAGTACATTCTGAAATCAAGTTAAATGTTTGAGAAAGAACTAATTTATATTTCTCTCTTTGGTTTGATTTATTTTAATATTAGGGTCAAGAAATTGGGCCGTTGGATGCACAAGTAAACAATTTAAATAAAGCTATTGGACTAAAGCAGGATGAGATCGGTGAACTTGAACAACAATGGTTAAGAGAACAGAATGAATTAGTTGTAAATATAAATGAACGTGATAAATTAGCTGAGTCTGTGACTAGAATAAATAAACAATTATCAATTTTAACACAGAAGAAATTACGCATTGATAGTAAGTTTACGTTTTAATTGTCACTTCAATTTTTTCATGCCTTAAGTAAATTAATTGAAATTTGAATTAGTTCGTCAAAGCAGCCTTAAGATTAAGAAGAATATTTTAAGCTGAACCATGCGAAATTCAAACGTAATATCGTTTTTAAAAAGCTTTATTAATCACTATAACTAACTAATAATAATGCTAACTAAATGAATACATATTAGGCTGCTGAATCCATTTAAAGCATTATTCAGTAGAGTTATTAAAAATCTCCATTTTTTAAAAGGTAAGCTCTAGCTACGGCCAACCAAATAGTCAAATAAACCCGGTCACAAACTCTTCACCTACTCTCTGGTCGGTCGCTTTCTTTAATCAGAAAACACTACCTCACATTTTGCAGGTTTTTCAAGATCACCTAATGTTTCTTTAAAATAATTTGATTCAGACCAGCTTAAACTTATGTAACTTAGTTATTACTCTCTTCTTATTTATAGATGAAATCGCTATTCAGGGACGTGAGAAAAATGATTTAAAAAAAGAACTAAAACATTTACAGAACGATATCACTAGAATAAACACAATGATAGCAAAAGAGAAGACAACCGAAGAATGTTTGGATAATGAAAATAAACTAACTGAAATAGACTTTATACGTTCATTGAAAGAAAAAGAAACAGAAGCAGCTAATTTGCAAGAAAAAGTGGATAAAGCTTTAAAAGATAAAGAAGACTTATTAAGTGAATTAGTCGAAGTTGAGTAAGTTAATTAGAAGACTGGCTTTTATAAAACTCATCTGATGTAATTAATACAGTGTGACTTCGCATACACATCGATTAGCATTACGATGTTATGTTACATATTGATAGTTAGATTGAGAGGATATTTTCACTGCAGTTAAGCAAACTTATATAGCAAATTAGTAAAGTCAAATCGCGGAACTCTGAGGATACAGAGAATGAAGGCATACTTGTTTATGAAATCTTAAACTATAGCCTCAATAATTATCGGACGCCTAACTAAAACTCGTGAACTGCAAACACGAGAAAATCAGGCTGGATTCAGACCTGGTCATGCCTGCATCGACCACATATTCACCATTTGTCAGATTCTAGAACACAGGCATACTTACCGGCGTCCGACAATCGTGGTCTTTCTTGACTTAAAAGTAGCATTTAATTCCGTAGACTGCGAGATTCTGTGGAAGTGTCTGTCATGGAAAGGCGTACCACAGAAGTACATAAACCTCGTGAAGGTTCTTTACTAGAACACTGTTAGTCGAGTCAGAGCATATGGCTAGCTGTCATGTCTTTGCAACCTCAAGTGGTGTCCGTCAAGGCTGTCCACTTTCTCCATTTTTGTTTAACTTCATCATAGACCTACGTTCTCGTCGACTGAATTCTTGGGAATTGATCTCCTTCCAGATGGTCCACTTATCGACTTAGAATACGCAGACGACATAGTCCTATTGGGTGGAGTAGCTGATAAAATACAGAGTCTTTTGGTAGCACTGAGCGACAATGCCAGAATGTTTGGAATGCGCTTCTCTCCCTCTAAGTGCAAGTTGTTGCTTTAAGACTGGTCTGCGTCAACACCTGAACTAAGGATAGGGAGTGAAGTAGTCGAACGCGTTGACCACTTCACTTATCTTGGAAGACTGATCAGCTTTAATAGGTTGGTGTCTGACGAAAGCTTTGCATGGATTCAGAAAGCCCGTTTGACTTTTTCCAACATACGTCACCTATGGGATATCGGTCTGTCAAATGAAAGACGAGTATACTGTGCGGCAGTTCTGTTCTATATTACGGATGCGAAACGTGGCCATTGAGAGTTGAAAATACTCGTAAGCTACAGGTATTTGACCACAGATACCTTAGAAATATTGCTTTCATCTGCTGGGATCACCAGGTAAGTAATATTGGGTTAGACTCAGGGTATTAGGGAATGATGGTAAATCAGTTGATGAGATTGTGAATCTTCATCGACTGAGATGGTTGGATCATGTGTTGCGTATGCCTGAACACCGATTCCCACGACGTGCAATGCTAACGGGTGTTGGAGATGGTTGGAAGAAAGTCAGGGTTGGCCAAACCAAAACGTGGCATCAGTCCTTGAAGTCGCTAACTTCGAGCCATGATGACAGATACGGACTACATGGCTGAGAATCGATCACAATTGCGTCGGTGTATACACTCTCGGTCTTCCCTTAAACCATGAGATTAAAATCACTTCATATCTTTCTTTCTACGAACTAATTCTTTGTCCCTGTACTATGTCTTTATATGCTATCTTTCTTCTATATATTAGCCCCATTGAAGTAACTACTATGAATCCAGTGTTCATCTTGTTGTGCTGATGCATTATGGCAACCTGGACCGATGCATATATATGCCTGGTCCTATGGTATAGCTGACTAACTGACTGAAATAAAACCTAATTAGATACTTTTCACTACCAACAGACATCTTAATTCAGTTAAGATCGTTAATTAAGATCGTTAGATAAGAAATGAAAACAAATTACAGCCTGCTTTAAGCATTCATGGTGTTTTAAGTTAAAGAGAGTTGAGTAACTTTCGTAATTTTAATTGATACAGTTTGAAGGAAAAGGTTTTTTCAGCAGGAGACATTATACCAATGACTAAAATGTGACAAGCCATAGTTTTGGGTTCGATTTTTTACACTATACTTTGTTCAGATTTAATTCATTTTTGTATTGATCGATTAAATCTTCTAACTGATGTTTAAGACTGCAATTGATCAGTTTCTCACTATTATTATTATTATCATACGGATTGCCTTGATATTGTCTTAAGTCACAAGCATTATAAGCAGAGACGATGGTGGCTGTCTGTGGAATCCATGACGCGCGTTTCATCCTAACAACTACTACAAAAGTGAATTAAACTTCATCCCAATGCACAAGCTAGTGGCTGTCTGAACTCAGTAGCTAAGTGGATAATGCGATGTCGTTTAAGCGAGCGGACTGAGTTCAGGTCTTGGAGTGAACTTCAACTTTGGGATGCAGGTATATCAAGTTGACGAGTCCTGGATTCTAATGCTAACCACCATCATCTCTGCTTATAGTGCTTGTTCAAATTTAGATTGCCTTTTTTCGCCTGAAATATGTCACTTCAATCTAATTTTTTTAAAATTTATTATAAATTTAGACGGACAATTATGCTGTGGGAAAAGAAAATACAATTATGTGAAGAAACTAAAAAATCCGTTGATTGTGATATAGGTCAAGGTGAAATGAATGTTATGCGTCATGAAATTCATCGTATGGAAATTCGTAAATCCTCATTACTTCAGCAACAAGATAGATTAATTCAGGCACTTGAACGTTCTGTATCAAAGTAATCTGATTTTTTAAATCACGGGTTTAACACCAATGAATTTTTTTCATTTTAGGAAATAAAAAAAATTATAAATTGATTTCAAATGAAAAGTTTGAAATGGATATTTAGTATCAATTAAATATGTCAGTCGTAGTCAGATAAGAATTAATACCTTCCGTAATTTTATGACCTACTTAAGTAAACGAAGTATGTCATTTGTTCATTAGGTAGATACATTCTGACTGGTAGACACTTTCAATTGACAGTTGAATACCTACGTTTTTTAAATATAAATTTTTTTCAGGTGTTGATAATGCTGACTAATTTTGTTCGTTTAGATAACTTTTCATAGCATTAACATAAATAATTTTCTACTTATAATATCTGCACGAATTTTACAATGTTCACAAAAAAGTTATGAATTCAAGCTGTTTTGGTGATTATTTTCATAGTGTACTGAACTAAAAATTTTAGGTATCACAATAGTCATTTAAGTGTTACAAGGAAAAGGGTCATAACACATCATCACAATATGCAATCAAGAACAAAAGCCTTCATACCTATGAACGAACAAGAAGCAAATTAAAGGAAGTAGTAACGAACAAAAACGATCTCAGTTTGCCTTTCCTACCTCTCCTCAATATCTTGGCAATTACAGTTTTCCAAATACATAATATACTGTCTGCTTCCATTTATAACTGTTAGATTAGTAGTTTAAGCAATACGTAGAACTGTGTGGCGGTCGTAATATGAAATAATAAATAAAAATTGATTGAACTAAGAAATTTACTAGTGACTGAAAGCAAGTGAAACTTGGTTAATAGAGGTCAAGAGATATCATTTTTTAACCAATGAAGAGATTTTACTTTGCATTCTACTGTCTAACTTTATCGAAAATAGCTCATCCAGTGAATAACACTAGGAAATGTATTTGCATGATATATTGCTCTTCCCTAAATAACAGTCATCTGTTGTAACGTGCGGGACTGCAGGTTATGATACGCAGCGTTATATCGATCGATCACAGTGACACGTAAAACACGTAGTGGACGACCTAGTGTCCCGATTGGCCCTGCTTCGCTGTCTGTCCTAGCCAGTTGAGTCAAGAACACAAGTCACAGCCTCTGAGATATGAATCATTATATTTCAAACATACTTTGTTTAGATACCAATCAAGCATACCACATCGTACCATTAAAATAGAAAACAACATTTTGTACAATATTCAACAAGTGAACAGATATCGACCAATAGGAAATGTCCATTTAAAGTCCAAGGACACCATTGGACTTAACATGATAATTATTGGTCTATTCCTCCGCATCCACAACACATCATTCATAAGACGATTTGAAAATGTTCACTTTTCTCTTGATGCGTTCCTAACTTAGGATGAGAAGTTACCAGTAAAGATTATTTTAAATAATCAGGGATTCCAAATGTAAATTTACCTAGATTTCGATACTGAAACATGGTCCTAGTTCCCTGTATTCGATCTGACTATTTTATATTATTCCTCTTGAATTAAAATAAACTTAATTTAGTTTTACGTTTTCCTTCACCATTTCTTCTTTTGAGAAATTTCGACCAAATCGTACACTCCCCCATCTTCAAAATGAGCTAAACAGTGTTTGTTATCTAGCTATAAATTTTTCATCTAAATTTATATAGCTCATATTAATATTTATTGGCTTAAAGTTGAAGTTTTAAAAATTTTTCAGTCTGAATTGATCTAGAATATTTCGCGATTACTTACCATGTGGGACTTTTTAAGACATGTTTCTTGTTATTAAAGGGACCTCCACTTAAATGTGACGTAATTTCCTGATCATTTCTGTCATAAGGCTACTGAAGACAGTTTCTATGTATTTTAAGATATCGAGATAACAAATAAGTAATTGGCATACCCTTATGTTATATGATTGGACTTATTCGGAAAGAAACCCTGGACCTAGTTGTCGTACTGTTTGTTACTCATCAACAAGGTATATCTGTACTATTGAGGGAACAGATGCTCCCTAGCAAATTCGATACTGTATTACTCAATTTTAAAGACGGATACGTTGACACTAAGCTATTTGTGCTGTGACTAACCTGATGTAGGACTGAGATATTCGCGATTGATTAATCACTGAGTAGTGATCAATGTTATGTCTACTAAATCCTTTGCGTGCTGACTGAGAGAATTTGATCAACACTAAAAAGACATGAAATTGAATAGTGCCTCCGTAAATAACCACTTGTAAATGCTCTTATATTTATTAGCAAATATTGTCATACAGTCATATTGTATTCCACTAACCATACCGACTTTACGTACTTTTATTTTTCGGCTCATTAAAAAAATAAAAGGCGTGATACAATTGTTAATCAGTCGGATGTTCTTCAGTCTAGAAAGGATAAATCACAAATTCGCATTACAGCTCAACGTCATATTGATGAACTTAAACGGAAGTTAAAAGCTATCAAACAGGTAGGTAATTCTATACCTCTGAAACATTAGAGGTAAAAAGGATTGTGTTTTGTTATTCGTATCTCATTAGTTTGACATTAAACTTAAAAACACAAAGTTGTGATCAATGTCACTTCTAGTTTTAACAAGTGTTATCAAGGTAAGTAGATTTAAGGCCTCATGTTCGTATTAGTTCATCAATCTTAAAATTATCTTAATTGATAATTATGCTCAGAATGTTTTTTACTCTAGAAGGAAGAGTTACCGATATTACTCTACGAATTAAGTACACTATCACAATGCAAAGTTAAGTTTGTCCTGATTCAAACAATAAATAGGAAGAATAAATTGTTATTTTGCAAAGAAACATTTACTGTTTCCTCAGAATGCCGAAAACATGAGTCATGATCTACATACATAAGCTATCTGTGACCCTTTCGTAACAAATAGAAAATGAACACACTAAAACTTTGTACGGCCACTAAGGGGACGGGGAGGTAACTTCAGTAAAAGAATATTGCCGGTTCATGGTGAACTGTTATCATTTAAATGTAAGAGTTTGAACAAAATCTAGAACATTTAAGGACTTCCTAACAGCCTATAAAGTTTGAAAGCTAGAAACCATACACACGAGTCTCTTGGTTGAATCAAATTCTGACAGCAGTAAAAAGAGTGATTATCGGTTTCTTAGTCTCCACCTTAATCTGTTCTAGAGAATGTAAGAAAAGCTAAACCGATGGGAAAATTTAAAATGACGAAGTTTTTTTCAGTGTATTATAACTATTCAAGTTATCCCTTATTAACCATCTGTGTGAATTTTAAACATTTTATTTAATTTCCCTAAGGATATCAAAACACATCAACACTGACTGATTATTTTCTTCATTGTGTATAATAACAAACAAAATTTAGAATTCTGCGTCTTGTATAGAAGAGCTGGAAGAATTTGAAGAAAAAACTAATATGTTGGAAAATGAATTACGTATAAAGAAATCTGATGCTGAAGCTGAGCAAAAGAAAGCTGATGAATTGATGAAAAAATTGCAGTCACTGTCTGACCAGAAACAGATTGTAAGTTGTCCGTGCTCGAAGTTTCATTTGAATACTTCAATGTAATTAAATTTGGTTTCTGATCCCAACATTAGAATTGTTGAAATCATGGTAAAGGCCTATATTCAACGAATTAAATATCATAGTCTTTCTTCATTCAACACACTATCTCATTTCAATTGGGCAAGTTATATAATTATCACACCAGTAGTAGCTTAATAAATAATTGAAAATTTAGTGTTTTGAAGAAATCATTTATATTCAAATTATCGATTATTAAATCAGATTAGTACGTATTTGTTCTTTGGAAAAATTGGGAAATTATTTGAATTTGACAATGTAATTACAAAAAAAATGTTTAATGCTAATTATTTTTAGTTAAGAACACACTGGATTTTACTAACATTTTCCGTTTTTATTAACTAATTCATATTCTTATTCATTTTATGATTAACACAGCTGGATAACTAACATAAAGCTCAATGTTAATCCAGTCATTTTTCAAAGTTTTCATACTCAGTTTTCCTTTTTAACTGACCTTTTCTCTACCTGTCCCTGTGTAATATTGTGTGTTGGTCATTATATCCCAAAAATAGTATTTCGGAAATTTGGCACAGAACTTTCAACTCATCATTATAGCTGTGTAGAGAGCTTATCGAGCTGTGGATGCTTGTCGCCCCCTTCATATATATATATATATATATATATATATATATATGAAGGGGGTGACAAGCAGGTAGAGAGGTTTATTAGATAGACATATCGGGCGTACATTGTTGCTTTGAGAGATTATAGTTTGAGAACGAATACAAAACAACCACTACTAATTTTCCACTATTTCCCAGGTAATCAGGAAATAGTATTTTTAAATTGTTAGTTTGTATAAAATAAACAATAATACTGCAAAGTGTATCCAGATTTTACATAATTATTCAATTTGTTAAAACCTACAGGTTAATCTTCCAGTAAATTAAAAAAGCGTCTTGAAAATTCGTCATTATCAATAAAGATTATCAGTTTTTCCTAGCGCTACAAATAAAACAAATAGACTTTAGACAGTCCTCATATTGTTTAGGTTTTCATCACAAAATGACATCAAGTGTCACGTCAAAATACTCCGCCACCATATGAATGAATGAATTTCTCTCAAAAATACCGGAGGCCCTATCTAATTAATTTATCCCCAAAATGTAGTGCAACTAGGTTAAATTTAGTCTAAGGATTAACGGTCGAGTGTTAGGATTTAAGGAAATATCCCTGAATAGGCATTGTAGTGTCGATTTGCTAGTTTTATACAAGGTAAAGAGATCGAATTAAGCATTTAGTACTTTGAACACTATCAGTAATTTCAATTTAACGGATGCAAAAAATAATTTTCCGCTATAATTTTAAATGTTTCAAACATTGTGCTTAGGTATTTATACTGCTCGTTTTACATTATATTTGCATTTCGCACAATAACCTAAAAGTCACGTTCTCTATTCTGGTTGGCTCGTCCATATACTTTTACCTGTTACAGTATTCAGAAAACGTCATTAATTACCATAGTTAGGATAATAGATTGTCCCGTGTTGTAAATACATATAGTTTTACGGCAAAATAAATAATTCTTCTCGTTTTAGATTCATTGAAAGTGCTCGTTCGAATACAATGAATTATATTACTACGTAATTCATTTTTCGAAAAACTATTCAACAAAACATCGATATTCAATTTACTTGAAATCATTTTGTGTAACCTTTCTTTAGAACTGAAGTAATCAGAATCCACAAAGTGACTTTCGTTTTATTACACGAAGTCCAAAAATAAATGGTTTTTATCTTACATGATATGGAAAGTCTATTAGCAACAACGTTTTTGAATGCTCAAAATTTCTAAATTGATAAAACAAATTCATTTTCTTCAACAAAGAGTGAGAATAACAATGTCTCACACGTTAAACTCTTGCTTCTTTCTATGGATATTAAACTTAAAATGTAAATCAATTAGTTTTTGTTTCGAATTACTTTTTTAAAGTGAAATCGCGAACAAATCACTTTGTTGATGGTTCACTGACGATAACAGATCCGTTGGGGAAGTGGAAATTGTGGAAATACTCATCGATGATTTGCCATCTTGCTATTTCTTCAGCGAATTCGGTAATGAAGACTTTGTGGAGGATGATGAATTTTTTTATGAAAATATTTGTGTGTGAATTGTATCTGTAATGAAGACTTTAGTGTGGATATACTTACATTCAAGTTAATGGGATTTCTTAGCAATACTTTTTAATAATTATTTAGGAAAACTGATAAACCTTATAATCTGATAAGCATCATAATCCGACCGTACACTTACAGGTTTCATTACTTCTGTAGTGGAATAATTTTGATTTGTTGTTCACGTATTTACTACCGTGAGGATTCAGTAACTTAATGAAAGCTGTACAGTGTTTTAACCAATAAATGAAACTAATTTATAAGCTTTCGTTACTATGGTTCCGATTGGTGACTGAAGATCTAGGAGTGGGAGCTAACTTGACGAACGAAAGAGATGCATCACTCAATAGGTATTTCATTTTATTTTTAATAAGTCAAATATC